TACAATAGACAATAGAAAACATCATTAACAAGTATAAATTTGGGAAAAAAAACTATGTTACGTGGAAAATGGGGCTATTGGGGGACTCTCTCTCTCTCTCTCTCTCTTTTTGGGGGGTGTTTTCGCGGTCAAATGATCTGGTGAAGCAATTGTCGTCACTAAAAATACTGCCTGGTTCATAGGGATAGTTCATGAATGATGATATTCCCCAATATATTGACTAGTACAAGGAGCAAAAAAAACCACAGGCTTTGAATTATGCTCATTTGTTCTTGTTTCTTTCACCCTATTCAAGCACAGTACACAACTGACATGTGTCAAATTTCGCTGAACATATTTGTGGTTTCAGTTGCTGCAGGATTGGCCGTCCTAGGCATTTCCTAAGGTGATGACATTTCCACCATGTTCCTCTTTGAAGCGTTTACATACAGTTTATGCGTTTACGTATGGTAATGTATGCCCTTGGATCCGCATGTGAGCAGTGTCAAAAAAAAAACGTGGAAAATCCCTTCTGGGGCAACTAATCCATTTGGGGCCCTAGAATCCAACATCGAAAAATCCTCCAACACTTAACCCACAAAAACTTCGGTTGGTGCTGTTCCCTGACTCTTTTTCTGGCGCCCCACTACCATATATATATATAGAGAATGGATGTACAGAAACCAGCTTGAAACCTTGAGACTGATAAATTGACTTCTAGCCTTTCCCCCAAATTGATTCAGAAAAAGTAAACATAGTAAACAACTATCAAAATAGAAGAGAAATTCATCAGTTTTCCATCCTAAAATTTAGGTTTGCGCCACTGTCCTCTTGGCCAACATATCCAGGAGCCGAAGTTCGGCATACCGTTTATTGGTCTTTACCGACTTAGTTGTGAACAACGGGAGGTTCCCTCTATTCATCAAGCAACCAGTGGGATAGGGATGATTATTAGATGCAAGAAGTTCTCTATGAATTTGACTGAGTTGCATTTGATATTCTATTCAGATCCCATTAACATCATACTACTATGCGATTCGTATCCCCTTTGTATCACCATTATATCTCTATCACAATGTCATTACCCCGCAACGTGATCAGGATCTGCAAAGACTAAGCTGCTAAGCCGCTCGGTCACCTTGCACCACATAGTTAGTGCAGCCCGCACTGAGCAATGAAGAAATCGGCCAAGCTGTACATCTTGAACTCGTGAACAACGGCTTATGGATGATATCACCAGTTAATAAGGTTTTTAGACCAACTTATAATTGGGGGGCACCTTGTATATACAATGTATGTATATATATATATGTATATATATATGTATGTATACATATGTATATATATGTATATATATATGTATATGTGTGTGTGCGTATGTCTGTTCTGTTGTGTTGTGTTGTGTTGTGTTGTGTTGTGTTGTGTTGTGTTGTGTTGTTTTGTGTTGTGCTGTGTTGTGTTGTGTTGTGTTTTGTTGTGTTGCGTTGCGTTGCGTTGTGTGATGTTATGTTATGTTATGTTATGTGATTATGTTATGTTATGTTATGTGATGTAGGTATGCAGGTATGTAGGTATGTAGGTAGGTATGTATGTAGGTATGTAGGGGTTCTTGTAAAATGTCCCTCAAGTTGGATTTTTGTTTGCCAAGCGATATGCAGTCCACAGAGGGCTACACGTCCGCAGCAGTATACCCTTAGCTTGGTTGCCTATTTCACTTTACGGGACAACAGCTTCCAGTTATCCGGATCTTCAGCATGGTGCAGAGAAGATGGATGTAGCGAGTGGTATTGTACCACTGTTTCATACCGGTGGAGGAGTACTTTTTTTAGTTCAACAATGGTAAAGCGTTTATAAATCGAATGAAGGAAGTCTGAATTGAGGGTGAGTGATGGAGGTCATGAACCCGATGAGCGGATTCAGCCAGGGCAAGTTCTGGCCAATGCGCACCTGGGGCGCCTCGTCGAAAAGGAGCAGAGACGGTGCGAAGAGACATGGAAGGATTGAAACAAATATGGAATTTGGGTGAGGTGGGATGACGAAGGATGTGGCCAAGGCACTTGACACGAGAGTCAGAGATTCGCATGGAAGAGGGAATACAGGAAGGAAGGACGGAGTAAGAAAGAGAGAGGAGGTAGTTGAACATGGTGAGTCAGTTGGTTGTAAACCCGGGTGATAGTATGGACTGTTGACTTGAAAGATTTGGCTTAGGGCCTTGTAATGGAGAGAGTCAATTTTTGAAAGCTGAGAGGGAGAATAGACCTGTGATTCAGAGCCGTGGAGGAGGATGCATTGTAGGATTCAGGAATAGACCCTAAGTTTGAACTTCGGAGAGATGAGAGGATGACAAAACAATGGGTCAAGGGTTTTGAAGGCTGAAGAGGCCTGAGAGCAGCGGAAGTGTCATCTCGAACTGAGGAGGATGTTGGAGTCATGTAGGAGCCGAGATACTTCGCACTGGTGAGAGGAGGAAGAGGAGGGCCAAGAGCCTCAGAACAGGGTGGAGAATGAAAGAAGGGAGCACAAAATGGGCAATCACATACAGAGTGAGCTGTAGCATGAGAGGAAAGAGAGATAGGAGATAGGAAGAGAGGAATGAATACAAAGGAGCTGGCAGTTTGGGCCATTATAGCAGGAGCCCAATACGGGCAGCAAGATGCTGTAAGAGATGCAAAAGACGAGAAAGAGTTTCTGGGGCACGGGCAATGAGGATGGTGTGATCTGCATATTCAAGATCAAATATGAAAGGGAGCGCGGTCATTGCTGGGTGGAGGAAGGCCAGAAAGTTGAAGTGTGGCTTGTTGGTAGGAGAGCTTAGTCAGAGTGAATGAAATCACGCTTTAGAGTTGGTGGAGGTGGCTTTGGAGGAAAAAAGGAAGCGGTTGCTGGACCTTGGCGGAGAGTAGGAAGTGGCGGTGATGCCAAGGGAGAGAGACATGAGGAAGAGAAATCATTGAGCGAACGTGGTGTTGATGCTCGATACGGCAAAGAACGTGATCAAGGACTGCGCAGGTATCCGTGGTTGGAGAGGAGTATGGTGGCGGATCGTGTGAAATCTCCTGGTACGTAATCAATTTGGAGGATGGTCGTTGACGCATAGTGGATACTATACAGAGTTCATTGTCCTGGAGGAAGTCGGTGATGAAGGCGTTGTTTGCGTGGGGGGAAGAAGGTCGTCTTCGATGGTAGAGGAGAAAGTACAAAGACCAATGTAAGATTCAAGTCTGTCAAGCTGATTCTGTCAGAGTCGGGTATTGAAATCTCCCATGAATATGGGAATGTATTCGGGGTTATAATGTTGGATAAGGGACTGGAGATTGTCCCAAAACTGCTGTTTTCGACGGAGATCCACGGAAGGATCTTGGAGTGTGGATGGAGCGTATATGGAGAAGATAGCAAGACGATGGGGTCGAGTGTTGAGAATAAGCACTGCAATACGGGAGTTCCATGGATGGAAATCATATATCAATGGAATAAGAGGAGAAGGGATGGCGACTCCAGCATGAGGATCATCCGGAGTGCCTGAGTGGTAAAGGTGTGTATGTGCGTGGGAGAGTTTAAGGATGTCAGTATGGGTTGATTTGGTTTCTTGAAGACAATAGATTCCTCTTGCGTATTTACCAACGCCAATAAAAGTTTCAACGTTCCTTGAAAATGCATCTAAGCGAGCAGGTGGATCGTCGAGGCGATCTCGCATGACACATGTCTTGAAAAAGTTTGTTCTGGAACTGGAAGTATGTGTCAAGCAGTGTGTTGAGGATAATTGCGCTTTTGGGAAATACTGCTTACTTGCACCCTTTACGCGGGAGCAGATGGAATGGGCAGGGTGGAACCCATCCACCATTGCTGTTGTGAGTTCCATGAACGCTATTGACGGCGATTGTTACGACGTTGATCATTATATGTTTGGTATCTCGAAAGGATTTTTTGGGGTAACCGGCAATTTTGATGGAAGCGATCCCGCGACGCACGGCAGGGTTCCCTCAAGTTGGATATAGTTGATGAATGTGGATTATTTATTTATATATATACATATACATATATGTGTGTGTACATATATATATATATACATATGTATACAGATTGTCCCCATTATAGTTCGTGAAACCCCCATTGTGTGCGTGTGTGTGTGTGTTGATTCTAGTGTATTCTAGTGTCTCTTTTGATTGCTGAAAATCCCTGGTTTCCATTTCTGGTGACGTCTGCACTTCAATGATTTCATGTCCTATCTGACTACACTGAGCAACTTAGATGGTCCATGGTTGGTTGGTTAACTGGTGGTCACAGGTATGTTATGAGCCATTATATATAATCCAGTTATGCTCAAGGATAAAACCCATTTATTCACCAGTTGAAATAATTCCCATTTCCCATCTAAGAAGTGTTGGGAATATGGCCGCTCCACCCTTTTGTGAGGAATACTGGCAGCCACTGACATAATTCATCGATGAGAATGTTCACTTCAGCTGGTAACGTGAGATAGGTTTTCAGAATACGTATAGAAAGCCCGAACATTTCAATGAAGAAGTCTTCCTACTATTTCTGAGGATATTTCTGTTTGATATGTAGTGACCAATGTCATGTGGTCACCTATGCTAGTCAAATCCCATCGTTGCCGCTTGTTGCCTGAATCTGCGTTGCAATTCAGATGCCTATGGTTGCTTGAAAGTTTTTTCAAATGTCAGTTAGCCAAATCCCAAGCAACACATCAAAAAACACATGTGGCCGTGACTCAAAACCATTCTCTGAAAACTGTCTTTGAATTGTTGACCAAAGTCAGGGATCGCCTGGGCTTAAAATTTGCACCCAATTTTACCCTGCCAAACAGCAAGTTTTTCCCTGGTCAAAGATCTTACGTACATATATATATATATATATCTATCTATCTCTCTCTCTCTCTGTCCCTGTAGCAACAGAATAAAGTCTAAACTACCTCCAATGTTTATCCGCATTTAGATCCATTTTGTGGCCAACTGCCAGCTTCTTCATTGCCCACTGCTTGAGTTCCAAGCGGGTCGCTAGTCTCACAGAGACTCAAAGCCAGACACAGAGGCCTCCAAAGTGGCATTCAAACGGGAAAAACATCTATCTGCTATCTATAAATGGGGGATTGTCAATTGCTATGATTAATTACCAGAGGGTATACCCAAGAATGAACCATCACCAGAAATGGTTGGTATATATACACTGTATACACCTTACAAAATTGGAGCTTCATTATTGGGTTTTACCACATGATATTATTGGAACATACATGAAATACCTAGGGCTTGTCATCTATGGAACGCTCGTAACTCATGTTATCCCCATCCCCTGGGTTTGTCCCATTTATCAATGGCTGAACTCAGCGTCAAACATCAGTTCCTATCGTAGATCCGAGTGAGCTGGTGAGCTGATATGAGCCCAACCACCGAAGATGAAATACCATGTATGATATGAATAAAAAGACATATATATAGTATGATATCAGTATATATATATATATATCATACATATATATATACAGATATATATATGTATGATTCATATATATATATATTTATGGTATTATATCTATTTATAAAATATTTGATGTGTATGTATATATATATATATTAAAATGATATATATCTAGAGTTTAATATGATGTATATATACATGTAATATAATATGATATGTATATTTTATATATGGCATAAAATGATATTATATATATATATATCATATTGCGTTCCCGAATAGAATTGAAAATGGTTTCAACAAGCAGGCAACTGCAGCAGCACCAACCTTTTGCTATGCATTTGGCCTGTGCGGCTGGATTTCTGTTCGATGCCACATGCATCATCAGCTTGGTTCCTCCAGGAACCACTTCCAAAACTAGTGGTGGTGTCACACAGCATTTCCACCCGGCTGTCGAAGCCAGGGGCTTTCGCGTCAACTGTGAGGAGCATCAGGGGTGCTCAAACCACCACGTTAAACTAGAAAACGGCCACGACCACCAGACTCCATTGGACCTTAGGTGGCCTTTGGATCGGTCTTACGTCTTTTGGAGTTCGGTCCTGATTGTTGGTTGTCCAACAGGGACCATAGAAACTTGAATTGGGAAAAAGCCTCGCTCACAGGTAGTTGCCGGTCAGGTCGGAAGCCGGCAAAGTTTGGATGGGTGAGTTCATCCGCCCACTGGTTGTAGTCCCTCTTCATATGTGAGGGAGCTAGTTGGACTGGACTCCTGCCTTGTGGAGCATCATGATGAGCTGCATCAGAAAGGCAGAGGTGGGCATCTGTTTGGTCTTTTGGTTCAAAAGCAAAGATGTTGCCTTGGTTATCGGAGATGAGGCTCAGGCGGGTTCGGAGAAGAGTCCTGCCTCCCTTAGGCAGCCAAGGCAGCAATCAGCTGCAGGTGGAAAGGCTGCCACTCTTCCACCGTATCAGCGTCCTGGATGTTGAGCTCGATAGCCTCTGCTAACGCATGTCTTGTCCGGGAAAGCAACTCGTCACTGAATGCATTTGCGATCCCCTCTGTTGATAGACTGCTGGACCTCCTGTGCACAAGACGTTGCCAGGGGCGCTATGGTGGATCCCAGGGTCGCCAGCGGTGGAGGACGTCGTCCGGGGATTGTTTCCCACCCCCTCACGTAAAGGCCTGGTCTTGAACCCTGATTGGACAATGACAGGGTCATCTGCCATAGTCATGGCTTGGGAGAGGGGCACAGAGGAGGATCTGTCAGTCCTGCCCGGGGGCTCCCCGCGCGTAAAAGCATAGTCTTGCAGTTGTCCCTCGCTGGATAGACTGGCGCTGATGGCCTGAGCCAGGCCCATCATCATTGCCTCTGGGTACCTGCTGAGGTCATCTGACCCGCCTTTGGTCTGGCGTGTTCACCGTGGTTGCACATAAGACCTTGTTAGTGATGAAGTGGTAGGGTAGTCAAAAGCGTTGGTGCCAGTGGCTACCGGGGGGACAGGAGTAGCCCGTGCGCCCGGCTGTGGCCCCGCAGTCGAGCTGCCAATGCCCATGCGAGACACAATGCTTTGAAGTTCATTGAGCTGCGCGTCCAAGTCTTCCTTAGTCATATTCACATCCAGGTTGACCAAGCTCGGAGAAAAAGGCTAGGTCTCCTCCTGGTCCATGGCAGTGCGCCCGGAAAAAGACTTGGGGATGTCCAAAAGCAGATGGCCATCTCCGACCGAGGAAGAAGCCTCTTCTAACACCGAACATGAAGCCACAGTATCACATGCCATAGGGCTTGAAGTCGAATCCATGGCAGCCATCACGGCGAAGAGAGGAAAGTGTATTTTTCGACACAAACAAACCCAAAGTAAGGAGACTTGAGCCGAAATGGCATGGCCATTTTGGCAACTACTATCAACAACACATTACTTGCTCTCCACAAGTTCCAAGCAAAGAAACAAATATGATAGATACATATTGTATATATATATATATATCCAGCCTCTCCAACGCCCCTGTGGTGGGGTATGCGGTGGTGGAGGGGGGCAGAAGTGTATGTACGTTTGTCTGGTTTGTCTGGATGTCTGCAGGTAGGTGTGGATGTAAGTATTCATTTCTCCCCACTCTGTGGTGGGGGCATGTGGCAGTGTGGAGGGGTGGCAAAAGTGTATATATGTAATGTAATGCAATACAATGTAGTGTAGTGTAACGTAATGCAATGTAATGTAATGTATGTATGCACGTGGTACATATGAATGATTGTATGTATTTATTCATGTGTGCATGTATTCATGCATGTGTGCATGTATGTATGTATGTATGTATGTATGTATGTATGTATGTATGTATGTATGTATGTATGTATGTATGTATGTATGTAATTCATGTATGTAATTATGTATGTAATTAATGTATGTAATTAATGTATGTAATTAATGTATGTAATTAATGTATGTAATTAATGTATGTAATTAATGTATGTAATTAATGTATGTAATTAATGTATGTAATTAATGTATGTAATTAATGTATGTACTTAATGTATGTACTTAATGTATGTAATTAATGTATGTAATTAATGTATGTAATTAATGTATGTAATTAATGTGTGTAATTAATGTATGTAATTAATGTATGTAATTAATGTATGTAATTAATGTATGTAATTAAGGTATGTAATTAATGTATGTAATTAATGTATGTAATTAATGTATGTAATTAATGTATGTAATTAATGTATGTAATTAATGTATGTAATTAATGTATGTAATTAATGTATGTAATTAATGTATGTAATTAATGTATGTAATTAATGTATGTAATTAATGTATGTAATTATGTAATTAATGTATGTAATTAATGTATGTAATTAATGTATGTAATTAATGTATGTAATTAATGTATGCAATTAATGTATGGAATTAATGTATGTAATTAATGTATGTAATTGTATGTAATTAATGTATGTAATTAATGTATGTAATTAATGTATGTAATTAATGTATGTAATTAATGTATGTAATTAATGTATGTAATTAATGTATGTAATTAATGTATGTAATTAATGTATGTAATTAATGTATGTAATTAATGTATGAATTAATGTATTACTTAATGTATGTACTTAATGTATGTAATTATTATGTAATTAATGTATGTAATTAATGTATATAATTAATGTAATTAATGTATGTAATTAATGTATGTATGTATGTATGTATGTGTGTATGTGTGATGTATGTATGTATGTATGTATGTATGTATGTATGTATGTATGTATGTATGTATGTATGTATGTATGTATGTATGTATGTATGTATGTATGTATGTATGTATGTGTGTATGTGTGCATGCATGCATGCATGCATGGATGTAATGAGGTAATGCATGCATGTATATAAGGTAATGTAATGTAATGTAGTGTAGTGTAATGTAATGTAATGTTATGTATGTTATGTATGTTATGTATTTATGTATTCATGTATTTATGTATGTTGTGTATGTTATGAATAATAATGTCTATTATGCATGTTATGAATAATAATGTATATTATGCATATTATGTATGGTATGTATGGTATGTATGTTATCTATGTTATTTATGTTATCCATGCTATCTATGTTATCTATGTTATCTTTGTTGTCTATGTAATCTATGTAATCTATGTAATCTATGTATGTATGTAATGTAATGCAATGTAATGCAATGTAATGCAATGTAATGTATATCTGTGTATGTCTGTGTGTGTCTGTGTATGTCTGTGTATGTCTGTGTATGTCTCTGTAGGTATGTAGGTATGTAGGTATGTATGTAGGTATGTAGGTAGGTAGGTGGGTATGTGGGTGTGTATGTAGGTATGTATGTAGGTATGTATGTAGGTATGTATGTAGGTATGTATGTGGGTGTGTGTGTGTGGTTGTGTATGTATTTAGGTATGTATGTATGTAGGTATGTATGTACGTATGTATGTAGTTATGTATGTATGTAGGTATGTATGTATGTATGTAGGTATGTGTGTAGGTATGTACGTAGGTATGTATGTATGTAGGTATGTATGTAGGTATGTATGTATGTATCGTATCTATGTATCTATGTATATATGTATCTATGTATGTATCTATGTATCTATGTATGTATGTATGTATCTGTGTATGTATCTATGTATGTATCTATGTATGTATCTATATATGTATGTATCTAGGTATGTATCTATGTATGTATCTATGTATGTATCTATGTATGTATCTATGTATGTATCTATGTATGTATCTATGTATGTATCTATGTATGTATCTATGTATGTGTCTATGTATGTATCTATGTATGTATCTATGTATGTATCTACGTATGTATCTACGTATGTATCTATGTATGTATCTATGTATGTATCTATGTATGTATCTATGTATGTATCTATGTATGTATCTATGTATGTATCTATGTATGTATCTATGTATGTATCTATGTATGTATCTATGTATGTATGTATGTATGTATGTAGGTATGTATCATCCAGGTATGTACCATCTATATGTATCATCTAGGTATGTATCATCTAGGTATGTATCATCTAGGTATGTATCATCTAGGTATGTATCATCTAGGTATGTATCTTGGTATGTATCTTGGTATGATTCTAGGTATGTATCTAGGTGTGTATGTAGGTATGTATGTACGGATGTACGGTTGTACACATGTACGCATGTACGTATGTACGCATGTATGTATGAATGCATGTGTACATGTATGTATGAAGGTAGGTATGTATGTAAGTAAGTAGGTTGGTAAGAATGGATGCAGGTAGGTATGTATGTAGGGATACCATGGGAGGGTGGCCGGGGGACTGGATCATACATCGCACAGGAATAGCTATGGTAGCGCAAAAAAAGAGACTGCTTGGTTCATAATGGGAATTTACCTAATCTGGATGAGTTCACAATCCCAATCAAATCAGGTGCGCAAATTGCCGCACTACAAAAATCCTCCAATAGGAGTAGTTTCAATGGCGCCGCTTTCGGTATGTGTCAAGACTCCGACGCCCATAGACCATGCCAGAAATGAACAGACGAGTTTATGGGATTGTAATTCACTGGATTTGGGGGTATCTAATTCTGCCCCGTAGCTGCATTCAACCACAAACATCAAAAGAATCTGCCAGCAAAAATGATGATTTGATCAGCAAAAACTGGAGACCTTTGGCCACAAAAAATTGGGATGTAATCTACAAGAATTGATGATGTTTGTCGAATAGGGAATTCTGCCCAGAACTGGGATCAAGAGGAATTGGAGATGGTTGCGGCCGACAATGAGGAGAAACCCCTCGCAAAAATGGGAAAGTGGAAATTCCTCTGTAAACATGACGGGTGGAGGCTTCAAATCAAAAAACTGGTTTAATCAAAAACTCTAAGGATCCCTAGGGTATGTCTGGTTCGTGGTTTGTTGCTTTTTCCATTCTTCTTTTGTGGAAATCCAAGGCGATCACAGGGGATGAATCAATTGAATCGGGGAACATCAACAATGTTTCACATCACTGGTGGTTTGGGGGCGGGCCCCAAGGGGAACGATAAACTGCTGATTGAAACGACCATGGGCACCCCAGGCAAAGAAAACCACGAATCGGGGGTTGTCCGAAAATGGGGAGTATTCTCCAAATGACCATTCTAATTTTAATGGGGAATATGAGAATGGCCCATTAGAATTCAGGGTGAAAACACCTAAATTTTCAGTCCAATCCTTTTTTTTGGTGGAAGATGCTTGAAGCCAACACTGCATCACTCTGCCAACACTCGAAACAAAAACCACGGTGAAAAAAATTGACCTCAAAGAGAGCTCCAAGTCTCCATATTTCTCCATATCTTTGCTGATTTTTGATCCAAAAAAGCCTCGGCAAGCGCGGACCTTCCCGCTCCCGCTCCGGCTCCCGCCGCGACCTTCAAGTGAATCAGGCGCATGTGCTGTTCGAAGTCCCTTGATGTCACGTAGTGGTAGACGCTCCTGCCGTAGCTATCCTTCCTCGGGTTCCGGGCAGCTGAATCCCAGGCCATCAAACCTGGCAATGGGAAATCCCCTATAACTGGAGGTTTATAGCCTATATAGCTGGCAAAATCATCTAAAAACTGATGGATTTTCCATTGCCACGTTTGATGACCGGAGAGTAAATGATCTATAAATGAACAATTTTCGATAGCAAACTGTCAAATTACTAGATCTTTCGAGTTCTTGAATGCAGATTTTCGCTTGAACCCCAATAGTCGAAGATGTTCAAAAATTGAGGACCCCCCAAAGCCAGTGGTTTTGCAAAGGGACTCTGGTTCGATCATAACAATTCAGACATCTGGAATGTGGTAAATCCAATGCCATCTGCGCCATCCCCAAGTCATCACCATGTTTATGGCTGCTATGTTTATCATTTTTCAGTCATGGTAGGTTTCTGGCAACCAGGCTTTCCCACATTCAGGTTATCGTGGCTCCGCGATAATGGTGACCTAATGACTTTTTGGGGGGATCGTTTTTGGGGTGTCCATGTCGTCATGGGGGATCCTTAAAAAATCGCTAGTTGGTCATGGAAAATCCATCTATAAATGGATGATGACTTTTTGGGTACCCTCTGGTGAAATCCATTGAAATAGTGGATTTTCCCATTAAAAATGGTGATTTTCCATAGCAAAATGTTAGTTCACCATTTATGGTACCCCCATGCATTGGAAAATTTGGACATCTCCAAATCAACGAACTGGGAACGAACTGGGGCACTATCCCCCCATCCCACCATCTCCGCCGCACACGGGAATGGTTTTCCGGATCCAAACGAAACGATGTTAAAAAACAGCTCCAAACGATCATCCCAAATCAAATCGAAAATATTTCATGAAACCGCCAAGCATCATTTTTGAGAGCAATCGGTCATGGTCGTTTTTGGTTGGTTGATGAACTAGGGCTAGCTTTCACTGGGTTGACATTAGCTGCCTTCCAAGATCAAGAACTGCAATTGATTCGTGCTCATGGAAGAAAGAAATATTGGACATTTATCTTTAAAATTTATCCGGAAACTCCCCGAAATCCAAGGGTTTTTGGTATGTATGATGTTCTATTTTTAAAACCATGTCGGAGCTATACCCAGGAAATCCTTAGACAAACTTCCGCTGGGAGGAAGCCGGCAAACCATTTGAAAGGGGTCTTTGGTAGCCAAAGATTTTGAGAAACCAATATATATATAATATGTATATATATATATATATACAGTATATAAATTTATTTATTTATTTATTCCAGTAAATTGATCGACCCTGCCAGATAGGGGTTGGAAGACTAGTTTCCACTAAAAATTGGTCATCTTCAGGGTCTACGTTCATTTACCAGAGGGTAAATCTACAAGCATTCTGGTTCCCAGAGTCTTAAGAATCTTAAGACCCAAACCCAGATCATCCAGAGATTGGGCTGAAACGGGCGTTAATTTTAGGCGGATGTCAGATTCCTAAGTGTGGTAGCCATATTAGAGAGCTTGCACTCTCTGACGCAACTGAAATCCTGCTTGACCTGACTCAAACATGTGAATTTCCACCTAACTGGACTATGTCTGTTGTCCTGCCTTAGCAACAAGCGCATAAATTGTGTGAAAGTAAACAATCGAGTCCCAACATGTTTTTCCTTCTCCATAGCAAACTGCTTCATGGCAAGATGACTGGACAATCGAACAGGATTCTGACAATGTTACAAGCCAGTATGTCAGTATCTGCTAATGGATATACCCTCTGGTAATTCCCGTAGCGATTTTTCAAATGGCCCAGTCGAAATAGTTGATTTGCCCAGCTATTAAATGGTGATGTTCCATAGTTATGTTAGTTTGCCAGAGGGTAAATGTTCCATTCATAGCGCAAAAAATTGAAAATAACCATTGAAAATGTGAGTTTTCCCATTGAAAATTGTGATTTTTGATAGTTTTTTGTATGTTTACCAGAGGGTACTGACTTTGATCACCATCATTAACCATCATTAACCATAGTTTTTTGGTGATTTCCCATAGTTATGGGACAGTTTACCCGAGGCTACTCCCGTTCCAAATGCCGGAGATTAGTTTTCACCCGAGAAACTTCTGTGGATCGGCACCAAACTGCAGAAGCAACAGAAGCATATCCTGAGAGATGGTAAAACGATGTGGAGAACAAATGATGGGCATTAAAAATGGCGATTTTCCCATGAAAAAATTGTGATTTTCCCATGAAAAAATTGTGGTTTTCCCATTAAAAAAAATTGCTTTTCCCATTAAAAATTGTGATGTTCCCATTAAAAAATTGTGGTTTTCCCATTAAACATTGTGATTTTCCCATGCAAAATGGTGATTTTCCCATTCAAAATTTGTGATTTTCCCATGAAAAAATTGTGTTTTTCCCATGAAAAAATTGTTGTGTTCCCCTTAAAAATGGTGATTTCCCATTCAAAATGGTGATTTTCCCATGAAAAAATTGTGGTTTTCCCATTAAAAAGTGTGGCATTCCCATTAAAAATTGTTATTTTCCGTAGTTTCCTTAGAAAAGCTTTGAAAAAGATTGGCAACAAATATGGAAAACTAAAAAAAAGAACATGCTTTATTGAATTTCCTGAGTTGGTGGCCAGGTCACCAAGGCCTTCCCGAAAGCTTCAACTGTTGGTGAGGGTCATGGGGATTCCATATTGGTTTGTTTAAAAAAGTAACCCCCAAAAAGAAAGAAAGTGTTTCCGAATGGTAGTTCGATTATATATATATATATATGTGTGTGTGTGTACACTATATATATATATACACACATGTATCATACTTCTATTTTGGGATAACCTTCATCCGGTCAATATGCAATCCCAATGGGAAGTGCACAACAAATGAATACGGAATTCCGATGACAATATCAATGGGAAGTTCAATATTATCCAGGGTTCAGTGAAATCTAGAAGTGCAATCCTTTCAAGAATCCTTGAAACAATATATATATGTATATATAGTAATCCCAAAAAAGATAGAAAAGTGGAAAACCTGGAAATATGAAGCAAATATCATGGAAAATTTTCATCCTGGAAACACATGTCGGCATCTCTTTTGGGGCCTTAAATAACTCAACCGATTTTGGCCAATGCTGCACGGTGTTTCAACATCATGGGGGTCAGATTTGACAGAGGACAAATAACCATTTGGAATCAATCCCAATGTGCATAAATCCCAATCCCTTGGGTCCCTTGGGATGAAGCCTAAATCGTTTGTAAACAATGATTTTTGCTCATTGGTGAGCCTCACGCCCGAAAAATCTTTCGCCCTGGCAAGGCCCGGCTGGTCGTGGAGATTTTTAGGCATATCAGAGTAGTAAAACCAACGCGAAATAAATCATAGCCTGAGTACCTAATCTTACCATAAAAGGAGTATTGAAACCAAGGTGTATCCCCATTTTTGTTGCCTAAGATCCTGATGATTTGCATTTTGGTCACCTTTATCATCCCAACTTCCACCTCCGAGCATCGAACCGTTCTTCCTTGGCCGCTTGATGCAAGGGAAAGGACTTCATCAGGCCGCAAACACTCATCCTCGGTGCCGGGGCACAGGAAAATGGTGAAAGGCAACAGCGAAAATGACATGGCCCGCTTCGGCGAAATGTCTTACACATTGGCCCGCGCCAGACATCTCCATCGTGCCCCTTGGTGGTGTCCAAAATCGGAGGAAAATCCTGATTTGATCTTGGTGGTTAGTGGGATCAAATTGATAACCCCATATCATCTCGAGAAAAAAATGGTTGGTAACCCAATTCTTGCCGAGATATTTGGCGAATTGGTTTTCTTGTGGGTTGCAGTGTCATCATCCTTCCCTTCCACTGAATGGAGTTGTTGGATCAACCAGGGGCTAACCACCCACCCAACTGTGGCCAAAAACAATTCGCAAGACGCATGCTGGAAATTTGCGGGATGAAATCCAACAAACCCGATAAATGTGTGTGCGTGTGACGATTTAGTGGGTCTTAGAATGTCTTAGATTACTATTGAAAGTCGTCATTTCTGGGTTCCAAACATGCACAAAATCTAGGTCCCGAACACCGTCACCAATACATGAGGATACTTCTTCAGCATGTTCAGGGTAGTTCACCCCTCAGAACATCAAGAAAAGTGGGCCCAGCTTCATATTAATTGATCGTGAAACTTGCAGACCCAAAATCTTGGGATGGTGTACATACATACACATACTTCTGAAAATTACGTATTCATGGTCCAAAGTGAGCCTTAAATCCAAATTACCCATACAAACCCATATTTGTTTTTGAGATGCCTATACATGGATTTAAAAATCGATAGGTAGAGAGAAACAGCGAGCAAAACGATGTTTTTGACATATGTATATATATATATATACATGTGTATACGTATATATATATATATATATATACGTATATAACATGTATATACATATATCTATATATATATATGAATAAAAATCTGCCAAAAAAAATGAACCTGTTCTAAGTCCTTTTTGGGATTGCTAAAAAAACTCATCATCATCGCAGCCGGACCACTTCGTAGCATTGACGTCCTGGGATCGGAGGCTGATTCCATGGAATTAATGGGGATTGTTTCCATTTGTTTTCTTTCACGAATGCATGTTATTGCTGATTAAAATACCCCAATGTTCTTTGCATCTTAGTGTTTTTTACACATACCCACATTTTTGTGGCCATACCAAGTGACCTGATGTCAAGTAACGCTTGAAATGCTGAGTTGAGACCGCTAAAAGTGTCCCTCTGGTGCAGAAATGAGTTCGCCAGACAGGAGATAAAAGAATGAATCGCCAAGACTCGTGATGACCGTTTTTAAACCATGGATACAACCCAATAATATATATACATATATATATATATATGTATTTATTTATTTATATTCATATTTAATTATTTACACGTGTCTATATATATATATATACATATATATACATATATACATATGTGTGGTTTATTGAATGATTTTTGACTTCCCAACGAGCATGCACACCATCATAGGCTCGAAGGCATGATCTCTGTGGGGTCTCAGTTGTCCACGAGTAAGGTACGCTACATGAACTTCCCGAGGTCGTGTAGTCTATTTGTAGATGGGACAAGCAACTACTGTACTATACCGGATAGTGTGGAAAATCCCGAACTAAATGGAGGTTTCCAACTGGGAAAAGCATCTATAAATGGGGAATTGTCCATTGCCATGCTTGGTTACCAGAGGGTAGCTGCCGTTTCTGATCAGTTCATCTCCCCCAAAAGGTTCCAGCAGCATGTCCGTACTATCTGATTACATATATATATATATATAGTTAGGCGAAGGAAGTTTAAAAGTCAAACTTCCGACAATATGGACAGATGGAAAAGCAGAGGTGGGAAGAGTCACAGAAGAGAAGAGAAGCGAAGAAGAAATAAGAAAGAAGATCAGAGAAGAGAAATAAGTCAGAAGAAAGAAGATGCAGGTGCGCAAAAAGGTGGGAAAGTCGCGAAACACTGTGTTTTTCCAATGATTTGTGGCTCCGGAGGGTCGAAAAGTAGGCTCGCTAAAGCGGCGGGTGCGGAGCCATCTGGCCAGATGAGAGATGGAAAAGTGCACGCCGTTGTGGCGCGAAGCACATTTGCAAGCGAAAAAGCTAAAAACACCTCACGTTCGGAGCACTTTTGGAAGTTGAGATGTCGAAAAAGTGCACACCGTTGTGGCGCGAAGCACGTTTCGAAGTCAAAACTGACAAAAACTGTGGGGGTCGGAGCACTTTTGGGAGTTGAGATGTTCAAAAAGTGCACAGCTCTGTGGCGCGAAGCACATTTCCAAGTCAAAATGCGCAAAGCACACCAGCCTCGGAGCACTTTTGGAAGTTGAGATGTTGAAAAAGTGCACGGTGCTGTGGCGCGAAGCACATTTGGAACAACAACAACAACAACAACACCAGCAACAACAACAACAACAACAACTACTACTACTACTACTCCCACCACCACCACCACCACAACTACTACTATGACTACGGCTACGACGACGACTACTACTACTACTGCTACTACTACTACTACTACCACCACTACCACTACCACTACCACTACCACTGCCACTACCACTACCACTACCACTACCACTACCACTACCACTACCACTACTACTACGACGACTACTACGACGACTACTACGACTACAACGACTACTACGACTACTACGACTACTACGACTACTACGACTACTACGACTACTACGACTACTACGACTACTACGACTACTACAACTACTACGACTACTACGACTACTACGACTACTACTTCTACTACTACTACTACTTACTACTACTACTTACTACTACTACTACTACTAGTACTAGGGCTACTACAACAAAAACTACTAAAACGACTAAAACTACTACAAAAACTACTGCAGCTACAGCTACAACTACAAGGTCCGGCGCTCATAGATGGCCGTATGGTTTCGTTCATCATCATGTTGACTTTGATGCACTTTGATCAGTGGTGAAGTGGGCATGTAGTTTTAACGTTGCATGCTATCATCTTTGCGGTCCCTTTTGTGGCATCCCCAAAAACTACTTCACTTGAGACATTTTGAGGTGTTGTCTTGGTCATCTTTCGCATGGTGCCAATCCACGAGTTAATATTTGAACGGGCGAGCTAATTGTTTGATACAAGTTACTTGAGAAAGTTCAGAGCGTAGCATCAAGTACGTGGTACAAGTTGAGAAAGCTCAGAGCGTGGCATCAAAACCAAGTCCAAAAAAACAATGATGCAAGCAGCAATAGTAATAACATAAAAGAAGATATTAAGGGTATATATGGCCAAGAATCTGCATGTCCATCATGGATGGTGGCATCAACTGAACAAGCATTCGTTACGCGGCCTTCTACGCACGCCCAGCCATCTACAACATTCCAACTACAACAACATCAACTACAGCTACAGCTACAACTAGACTACAATACAACTACAGCTACAACTACAACTCCACTACACTCTACTACACTCCACTTCACCACACTACACTACAACTACAACTACAACTACAACTACAACTACAACAACTACTACAGTTACAACTATGACATTACAACTACAACTACATTAACTACAACCACACTACAATACAACTACTACTGCATCTACAACTACAATTACATTGCACTACACTACATCCAGCGGTTGTGTTTGAGGTGACCTCTGCAACCACTCCAAAAAGCACAACTCCAAGCACCTTTCGATCCATCAGTGGGTTCGCTCTGCCTTCCATGATTCACAACAACCAACCTTTGCTCGGTTGCCTATCGAAACTTCCGCCACCGCCTTGTGCGATACTACTGGGGTACTTATCCCGTCTACAAATGGACTATGACACTAACTAAATCTATTGGGAAGCTGTTGCCGTTCCATTCCTGAAATTTTCTCATCTTACTTGATTGTGCATTGCAGGAATCGTACGTGAGTAACCATATCATAACCCAGCTCTATATATATATATATATACAGATGTCGGTTATATATGAGTTATATGGGTTACATATGTATGTATATATATATACATATATCTGGGTTAGATATGTAGATTTCCTAAAATGAAGGACCTCCCAAATCATCCAAGTCATTTGACTAGTTTTTAGTATTGGAACCCCGGATGATGCCCAGGTCTTCAGCTTAGCATGCTTAGCATCTTCCGAGTCAAAGCCGTGTTCTTTCAAGAACTGGCGAAGCTGACGCTTCCTCAGCGCTGTCGGATGGAACTCTCAAAAAAAACAGTGGAGATTCTATGAAATTGTTACCATCTGGTAAACTAATATAACTATGGAAAATCACAATTTTTACTGGGTAAACCATCTATTTCTATGGGTCATTTTCCATGGCTATGTTAGTCATAACCAGAGGGTATATATACCGTAAGTCCTTGGTTTCAAATCATCCAGCAGTTTCCAGCCAAAGGTACCAGCTTTGCAACGATCAGCCGGTCTCGGGTAGTAACTGGGGTTATACAAATAATAAGCCAGTTATAAAAATGCTATAAATGGGATAATGTGTAATTAGGGGAGACTTACAGGCTTACTGACCCCTTACTGACTGCGATGATCCTTCAAGTAATCAAGTATGTTATGTTTGTCCAATTCAGCCGTTTCCAAGGCCTTCACAACTTTTGTTCTACTAGCTCTTCTCTTTTGCAAACCTTCGCAGTGTGCGTTTTTACCTTTTGCAGCATCCTTGTGTATTTCCTTTCACCGAGTCTTCACTAAAAACTTTAACGCACTAAACAAAGTTATCACTCGGAGGGGTTGGCAACTGTTTCTCAAAATTGGGTACCCGTTTCACCATGAAAGTGTTCGGCATTCAGAAGCACCGAAGCACCTGCAGATGATCACCATGGGTCACCAAGGTACCAAGGCGGGCTTGGTAAATCACGACTTCTGATTTCACCATAGATGGTTGATTAATGGGGGTACCCTCAGCCATCCATTTATAGATGGATTTTCCATTACAAACCATCCAGCGATAAAGGGGTACCCCCATTTACAGAAACCCCCAATTGAGTAGTACTACATAATCACTTTCTGAGAGATAATCCTCCAAATCGTCCGGGATGTCCCCTGGTTGATTAATTGTGGTGGTTCCCCCGAATAGTGATTTTATGGCTACTGAAATGGTACCCCCCCAATGAAACAGCCGTTTGCGGTTTATTAATTCGGGGTTGACATTAATAGTCCCTACTATATAAAGCACTGTATTCCACGTCATTGGTACAGTGATCATTTTAATGACTCTATCAAGATCAACCATGTCATCTAACCATCATTTTCTATCCGAGAAAAGATTTTAAAAAAAGAAAACAATCCCGATGAATCACCAATGTTTGTTCTATGCATCCCATATGTATGCATGTATATATATATATACATAGTATATACATGTGTATATATATATACATAGATATACATAGATATACATATACATATATATACTATGTATATATATATATATACACTATATATATATATGCACTATATATAAATATATGCACTATATAATAATATACACCTATTTATATATATATATATATGACCGTCCAAGCATGGCTTATGTACTGGCTTCCCTTCGAGGCTCTGCTTCTCCAGATTGTGCATGTGCCTCAGGATGTGGCGGCGGAGAACCAACGGTTTTCATAGCCATGGCGGCATGGCGGTACCCCAACAGCTGGATGATTGATTTCATGGAAAATCTGTCTATAACTTACTGGTGCATAACAGGGAATGGATGGGAATGGGGGAATGGGATTATTATTGATAGTTATTGTGGATAATTCCCTCATTCCCGACTAAGCACAAGTAAGATAAATGGATGAGAACTGGGGGTAATTTGATTTTTGGAAACCCCCATCTATGCAACTTGGGACAATCACAAATAACGATTAGGTAGTTGACTATATATATATACATACATACCATATTATCCAGATTAAATCACAATTTGGACTTGCTTAAGGAAAACAAAAAATATACAATCAATATTCCCTATAGATTCCCCAGTCATAGTGGACTTCCCGCTGGGAAAATAAGCCAAATCACCTTAAACAAAGCCAAGACAACGGTTATTCACTAAGTATGAAAATTAACCCAGCATACAACCCCAATTGCAAAGAAAAAACATGTTCACATATGTTCACCCTGATTGATCAACACGCTGACCTTTTGGAAATCACATCGAAATAATGTCGTTTTTCGAGACCTGACATGTTGAAACCAAGGTTTGGCCGAGAAGAAAACTGATGAAGGGCCCTGCCTTTTCGAGATTTCACCAGAAACCTTTGGAAAAGCCAACGTTGCCGGCTGCATCCAGTAGTTCCAATCAGATTTTTTGGTTTTTCTAATCCATTTTTCCTCCAAAACGATTGCCTTACAGGTCCTCCCAAAAGTGGAGCAACTATGACCAACGGACCTTCAAAAAGTTGCTGTTTTACTACTAAATGGGTCTGCAAATGGGATATACCCCAATAAAAACCACCATTTCATGGCATTTCATGATGACTAAAGTGATTAAACCATCAAATTTGAGGCTAGCCGGCTAGCTCAGACAACCCCAAGGCCTACCGGGATGACGATTCTTTAAAAGAGGAACTGGAGTTCAGCACAGGAATCGCCAAATCGATAGAAAAAATTCTAGAATCTAGCTTTTCATCATAGAATATCTATCTATAGATTATCTATCTAGAATCTATCTATATTTTTTGATTTTTGGGTGTCCAACTCTTTCATCGATGCCACCGTGCTTCTCCACCCTAGTTCCTGGCAAAACCAACTCCCAAATGCAGCCCCTTTACGGCCTCGTTTACCTCGTTGACCTACCTTACCCGGCAAGTTCACATGGCCAGGGAAAATGAAGGACTTTCAGTAGATTCGACTTACATGGCCTGCATCCCTACACATGGCCATTCTCCATAGCAGTCTCTGTTGGACAAACCGTCAATATCACAAGGTGGGCCCTCCCACGTTTGAAAAAAAAAATGTGATAAACTAGCTGGTGATATCCCCCATAAACATCCATAAAGCCTAGTTATCACTAGTTATGTTCACCAACTTTGAGAGATGGTTTCGGACCCATCCGATTGCCCCAATTCATTTTGTTTGGCTCTCAGGGTGTGTATATCATATACACACATGTATATACACTGTACATATGTTTGTTTAAAACATGGTATCCCAAAATTTGATGGTAACAATAGTGGTTCCTATTAGAATCGACCAAATCTGGGGTAAGCAAACCATTTTCATACAAACCCATATATATATATACTATAATATATATTTATTAGATGATTGATTTATCTCATCGTATCCCCATGATATCCCCATTCTGTCCCCACTATGTATATCTCAATTATACCCTCATGATATCCCTCCGTTAAATCCCCAATAAGCTGTACCCCGGGGTAAACATACAAAAAGATGTGGAAAACCCACGGTTTCTCGTTCGGAAAATGATCTACAAATGTGAAGTTTTCCACATCTGTTTTAGTTTACCATTCTTGGAAGTGCGGTGAGTTACCAGTAGTACCGCACAAGGCGGTGGCGGAAGTTTCAAAAATAGGAATCCTATAGGAAAGGTTGGTTGTTGTGAATCACGGATGGCAGAGCGAATCCACTGATGGACCGAAAGGTGGTTGAGGTCTCCTCTCTTTCTCTCTCTCTTTCTCTCTCTTTCCCTCTCTCCCTCTCTCTTTTTCTCTCTTTCTCTGATTATCTACCTACCTACCTACCTACCGATCTATCTGTCTATCTATCCATCCATCCATCCATCCAATCTATCTCTCTATCTTTCTATCTATCTATCCATCAATCCATATCTATCCAGCTATCTATCTATCTTTCTTTTTTTCTATCTTTCTATATTTATATATTTCTATCCATCCATCCATATCTATCTATCTATCTATCTATCTATCTATCTGTCTGTCTATCTATCTATCTATCTATATCTATCTATCTATCTATCTATCTATCTATCTGTCTGTCTGTCTATCTATCTATCTATCTATCTATCTATCAACTATCTTTCTATCTATCTATCTATCTATCTATCCATCCATCCATATCTATATATCTATCTATCTATCTATCTATCTATCTTCATCTATCTATCTATCTATATCTATCGATCGATCTATCGATCTATCTATCTATCTATCCATCCATCTATCTATCTATCTATCTCTCCGTCTGTCTGTCTATCTATCTACCTGTCTATCTGCAAGCTTGAAAACGAAGCTATTCTGCCAGACGTCCTCAGGTTTTGAACTTGACAACATCAAAAACGCAGCAATTCAGCGAGACTTCCTCAATGTTTGAAGTTGACAACGTCAAAAACGAAGCAAGTCTGCGAGACATCCTCACTTTTTGAACTTGACAACGTCAGAAACGAAGCAATTCTGCGAGACTTCTTTCAAAAATGGAAAGTTGAGTGCAGAGCTGACGGCCTCGTACCAATGTGTTTTGCGATTTTTGCAGTCCATCTGTCTAAACTACTGCCCCTGCCACGAAAAAGTGATGCCAGGTCATACGAAGTGCTGCACCTGTCACGCAAAATCATCAAACCTGAAGATCTGATGCTCCAAAATGCAACCCCTATCAGGAAATCAGCGCCCGGACCTCCTAACAGCTCTGATGAAAATGTCTCTTGTACTGCACCTGCCAAGGAAAAGGCATCTTTGCAGATCCTCTGCAAAATGCCCCACGCCTGCCATGGTTTTTGAAAATGCTCCAAAATCCTCACGTTTTGCTCACTTTTGACAAGGTGCACAATCCCTTGCGCCTGCGACGCGAAATGACATCTGAACGTCGAAAAGTGGTCCGAGCATGGTGTGTTTTGTACATTTTGACTTCGAAATGTGCTTCGCGCCACAACGGCGTGCACTTGTTCGACATCTCAACTTCCAAAAGTGCTCCGAACGTGAGGTGTTTTTAGCTTTTTCACTTGCAAATGTGCTTCGCGCCACATCTCTCATCTGGCCAGATGGCTCCGCACCCGCCGCTTTAGCGAGCCTACTTTTCGACCCTCCAGAGCCACAAATCATTGGAAAAACAAAGTGTTTCGCGACTTTCCCACCTTTTCGCGCACCTGTATCTTCTTACTTCTGACTCTTTCTCTTCTCTGATCTTCTCTCTTCTACACTTCTCTTCTCTCTGACTCTTCCCGTCTCTGCTTTTCATCTGTCCATATTGTCGGAAGTTTGACATCTAAACTTCCTTCAATCAGTGAATATACAGTAAAAACTATATATAAGGGCTTATATCCTAACTTATGGAGTGCAAAACCATCCATGCTTAAAAAAAAGCTTCGGTGGTATCCCCAAGACCAGCAGCAAATAAGCTTCACAATCTTTTTCGTCCGAAATTTGCTGTAACTTGACCGAAAACCTACGCCGACACACTCCCGCAATCGCACCTTGAAGCCTCGTTGAACCTGGCCGCACCAAGACCTTCCGGAACCTTCTCCAGAACCTTCTCCGGAACCTCGATCTCTGAGCCTCCCAGAACTTCTCCGGAGCCTTCTCTGGAACGCTGTTGAACCTGACCTGGCTCTGCACCAAAGCCTCCCAGACCTTCTCCGGGAACTTTCTCCGAAACCTTCTCCGGAGCCTTCTCCGGAACCCTGTTGAACCTGACGTAGCTCTGCACCAAAGCCTCCCAGACCTTCTCCGGAACCTCGATCTCTGAGCCTCCCAGAACTTCTCCGGAGCCTTCTCTGGAACGCTGTTGAACCTGACCTGGCTCTGCACCAAAGCCTGACCTCCGGGAACTTTCTCCGAAACCTTCTCCGGAGCCTTCTCCGGAACCCTGTTGAACCTGACGTAGCTCTGCACCAAAGCCTCCCAGAGAACACTTCTCCGGGGAACTGTTGAACCTCTCTCTGCACCAAAAGACCTTCTCCGAACTTTCTCCGAAACCTTCTCCGGCCTTCTCCGGAACCCTGTTGAACCTGACGTAGCTCTGCACCAAAGCCTCCCAGACCGTCTCCGGAACTTTCTCCGAAACCTTCTCCGGAACCTTCTCCGGAACCCTGTTGAACCTGACGTAGCTCTGCACCAAAGCCTCCCAGACCTTCTCCGGAACTTTCTCCGAAACCTTCTCCGGAACCTTCTCCGGAACCCTGTTGAACCTGACGTAGCTCTGCACCAAAGCCTCCCAGACCTTCTCCGGAAATTTCTCCGAAACCTTCTCCAGAGCCTTCTCCGGAACCCTGTTGAACCTGACGTAGCTCTGCACCAAAGCCTCCCAGACCTTCTCCGGAAATTTCTCCGAAACCTTCTCCAGAGCCTTCTCCGGAACCCTGTTGAACCTGACGTAGCTCTGCACCAAAGCCTCCCAGACCTTCTCCGGAAATTTCTCCGAAACCTTCTCCAGAGCCTTCTCCGGAACCCTGTTGAACCTGACGTAGCTCTGCACCAAAGCCTCCCAGACCTTCTCCGGAACTTTCTCCGAAACCTTCTCCGGAACCTTCTCCGGAACCCTGTTGAACCTGACGTAGCTCTGCACCAAAGCCTCCCAGACCTTCTCCGGAACCTTCTCCAGAACCTTGTTGAACCTGACCAAGGCTTTGGTGCAGAGCCATGTCAGGTTCAGGGTTTCCGAAGAAGGTTCCGGAGAAGGTCTGGAAGGCTTCGGTGCAGAGTCAACAGGGTTCCGGAGAAGGTTCCGGAGAAGGTCTGGGAGGCTTCGGTGCAGAGCCGGGTCAGGTTCAACAGGATTTGCGGCCATTTAACTCACGGAACCCCAGCTGAGGTGTGTCCAGCGCTTGGCTTGGCAGACGCTTCAGAAAGATTTGTAAAAATAAAACGTTGCGGCTGTTGGGGATACCGCCGAAGCTTATTCACCTCCACTGCAGCCCCAATGAGTTGTACCCTGGAGAATCTGCGGATCCAAGGCGCTTGTGTTCGCTCTTGGCCTCCTGACGTTTCTTCGCATGCAGCCTCAGAGCCGGCCGTCGAAGAGAAGTATGATGGATATCGGAGGTCAATAGAGCTTATAATGATAAGAATTCATGTGGATATATATTCATATACATATATCATATACATATACATATATATATATATATATACATATATATATAATAGATAATATATATATATAGATATATACATACTATTCGGATCTATAAGTAAAATAAAAATGATGCGGATATGTTTGATGCGATTTTACAAGCCAAATATTTATGTCTCACTTCCAAAAGAAAGACACGACCGCCATTGGCGTATCTGAGAATCAACCTGATCAACCATTGGAATTTGACAAGTTCCCCTAGATCTTCAGGAAAAAAACATCTTGTGCATGTCAATGGTAAATGGTTGGATTGTTTGGGTTATCAGCGGTTATCATTCTTATCATCATTCCCACGAAATTAGGTTCTATTTAGATATAATATATATATATATATATCAAACAGGTTTCTATAATCAAAGTCTCATCTATATCAACCATCTGTAAGTCCCTATATCAACCAATCAATCAACCAGGTTTCTTTAATTGGCTCAGTTGAATAGCACATCTGACATCGGAAGCTCGGAAGGTACGTGCTCACCATCATGGGCAAGCTACTCGATAACAACACCAACACGCATCCACATCCCCCAAAGCCCAAATGGGGCATTGAAATCAGTACACAGAAATGTTGAAATCGCAAAAAACCCTTTTTGACATTTGGGTTTGTCTGAAAATAGTGTACCCCCAAATCTATTGGATTAGAATCATTTTCCCTATTAAAATCGCCATTTAGAGCGATACCCATTTTCAGACAAACCCATTTGTCAGATTTGGGATTCAACTAGAAAAACCGCTCGGATGATCGGATCAGCCGAGTGAAAATTCGAAGCCTGAAAAAAATACTGAAAATTCCTGGGTCCCATGTCATCTACAAATCCCACTTGCCAAACAGTTGCTAATCTCTTCCGTAGATGCGAAAGTCCCGATGTTTAATGGGAACGCCATGAATTTATACAACTGGGGAAATCTCCCTCGGTGACTTTGACTATGGTAACCCAAGAGTAAAGCTCCGATTTGGGAGGGTTTGTGCAAGCCATGCCTGATAAAATTGGGGACCCTAGAAGGATATCAAAACAATGCGGATTTTGGTGCTCCCCAAAACAACATAATTGATCGCGTTGGTAAGTGTCGGGATATTGCCCTCTGGTACTCAAACAGTGTGCTTTGGGAAATCACCATCTTTAATAGGGATTTATCATGTATCAATCATCGGGCCATGGTTTTCAGTTTGCAAACTGCCAGATTCGAAGTATAGTTGGTTGTTTATGTCATTGTATTCGCAGTAATATGGAAGTTTCTTACAATGGAGTATCCCATTTTAACTATAAGTTTCAATACTAAAATGGTCTACCGACTTGGATGATTTGGGGGCACCCCCATGACTTGGGAAACCTCCATATCCCAGTAAGTCAAGAGTGATAGTTTCTGATTGAACATTGGCTCCTAGGCTCCGTCCTAGCGCAGCCAAAGCACATAACCTCTGCATGTCCACTGTGCAGCAACGTTGGTGTATCTTCGACAAGCTTGCATCGACCTCCCACCTTGAAAACCAGGGGAATCACGATGTGTCAGAGCTACAAAAGTCTAAAAATTGGCTAACTGGCTATTCAAACTCATATCACCAGCAAAAGGGTTTTAAAAAATGGGACTGGATCACAATTTTCAGGACCCAGAAACAGATCTTCAGTCATTCTATGAAGTGTCCCATTTCTTAGGATTTGAGATACAACTGCCCATGCACGAGAGGTCAACATGGCAAGTTACTTCACGCCATGAAAGTATCTGCCAAAAAAACTTCGGGTGCGATCTCCAGGAAACATCTAGAAGGTAATGGTTAACCTCCAGTACTCTAAGCTGTTAAAGGAAAAGCCTCGATTCTATTCATTTATGGGTGGCATTCCCATGGCACCGAGCTTGCCATGAGGTTTTTTTTACGGCTACTTCTGGACCTTCTGGGGCGCCCCCAAGATTGCAACCTACAGTGGATGGGCCAGCGAAATCCCGCACCAGTTGAAAACGGTGGTAAACTTGTAAACATCCCATTATTCGTAGGGTTGAAAGACCATCCAAGGGCAGGATTTCGCAACCATCCACAGTAGTACTACTTCAATTACCATTTTTGTCTCCGAGACCGTTCCAGCAGCCCGAAGAACTTACAGAGTTGTGAATGGGTTTTTTGAATGTTCTTTCTGGCACAGAATACCTGCAATTTCCCCTGGAAACAAAAAGACTTGGAAGATTATCCTCCGGTAATCAAACGTAGCAATTGGAAATCCACTAGAAATGAGGGTTCAATAGGAAAATCACCTATAAATAGTGTATTCTCCATTGCCATGTTTGATTACCTGGCCATGAGAAATGCCATGAGAAATGCTACTTGAATGGCCCGGCTTAGTATGGCATGATCCATCGCATCTGTGAATGATTTGGTGACTCAGAAACCACCACAACCACCACAACTCATTTTGGGGGAAGAAACCACTCTGTGGGGAATTCTTCCTTTTTTGGACTTCAAAGTGAAACCGGAGCTTAGCATGAACAAGCATTTCGTGTACACTCAACAGCAATCATTGACTTCCATGTGTTCCGAGCCCTTTGCTGTTCCCTTCCCTGCAAGAAGCTTGTCCCCTTCCCTTACCTCGACTAAGGTCTCTTTTGCTTCCCCTCATTCCACCCTTGAAATTTCTTCCACTCAACAGGGCAGGGTAATCATCTGCACCTGCTCAAAGCACTCTGGCGCAAAGATCGTGACGGTCATCGTTCTGCTGGAAGGCGAAGACACAACGGCGCGAAATCACTGTACTGAGCCGCGAAAAATCGCGAAACTGCGGCCACGATGTGAAGACTTGATCATTTCAAAAGTGGATTTTTTCGAATGCTGAGCTGTCACCTTTCGGTCACCAGTGTCTGGGACCTCAATCTTAGGGAAAATTCTCTGGGAGAGTTACACCGGGTGTTTTTTGTTGCGCCATATACGCCATGTGTAACAATGATCCTGGGAAAGGCCCCCCTAAAAATGCTTGATCCCAAAAAAAAACGTGACTACCAAACATGTACTTTGATATCATAATCATCATGATCATGAAAAAAGTAGTGCCCTGGAAACAAACAGCAACCCAAAATGATGTACTGCTCATTTGCATGTTTCACTTCCTAGATCACTTCGGCTCCACAACTGAAACCAATCAACTGTGGAGCCGAAGAACTTGTGAAAAACAGCCAGCTAGCAGTGTTCAAAAGCCCTCTGTGAATCCATGAAATACTGGTTGGTTAAGAACAGGATTCTCCCATTGGACAATGATAATCCCCAATATATGAAGGGCTTTGAACAAATCCCCGAACCAATCATCAACCAATAGGGGTATTCGCTGGTAGCTGGTGCAACGATTCACGGGACAACTGTCAAATTACAGGGCCTGAAAAGAAAGATGGAAGCCTTAAAATGCTCGGAGGGAAGAGCATTTTCCTACTTAAAATCACAATCAATGGAACAATAAATAACATATCTTGCAGCTGCCTGGGCCCCATAGGCCCAACGGTTCGCCAGGGCCCCATATATCCGTTGGTTTTCATCTTCCCGACAAGGTGAGATCCGCCAGGCAGGTAAGTTGATGAAAATAACCCCATCATGGGTAGAATTAGAAAACTTAGTTCTAGTACATCTAGTACAATGGTGAGTTATTTATAGTTACATTATAATGGACCTAATGGATATCGTTATTATTTTACCATAAACCACAGTTATCCTAGTTTTCAAAACCACCAAACCACCCTATCTAGGGAGCCACATCATGGAAATTGAACTGGCATAAAGCTAGAAAATTCCCAGTGCCCCAAGTCACTTCCGGATGGGGCTTGCCCGGTGCGGGCCGTCCTGCACACCTGTGGCACATGATGAAGTGAGATTTATACGGATATCAACCGGGAAATATGGTGGAAATGGTAATAGAATAGCGAGAATCTCGTAAGATTTATCATAATAATGATAACAATACTGTAATGATAACACTAGTAATAATGATAATAATCATCATCATAATCATCATCATCATCATCGTCATCATCATCATCATCGTCGTCGTCGTCGTCGTCGTCGTCATCGCCATCATCATCATCATCATCATCATCATCATCATCATCATCATTATGATACCCTCCACGAAACTAACAATTTGTTATGGAAAATAACCGTGTGTTATATGTAAATCATCGAACTAAGCGGGCCATGGCTTCTATATATATATATGTGTGTGTGTTTGTATGTATGTGTGTGTATGTGTATATATATATATGTATGTATATATATATATATGTGTGTGTATGTGTATATATATATGTATGTATGTGTATATATATATGTATATATATATATGTATATATATATGTATATATATATATGTATATATATATATATGTATATGTATATATATGTATATATATATATATGTATATATATGTGTGTGTGTTAGTTGGAGCACGGCCTTTATCTGGCCGTCGTTTCGTGCCCATGGGTGGGGTGGGGGGGGGTGTGCGGTGGGGTGGGGTGGGTGGGGGCCTGGGGGGGGGTGGGTGGGGTGGGGTGGGGTGGGGTGGGGCATGTGTTAACGTTCATGTGAACTTGCTAGGTAAGTGGACTCGTCTCTGTGTGTGCCGTTATGTGCGTGTAGACATGGGTGGGGTGGGGTGGGGTGGGGTGGGGCATGTGGTAACGTTCATGTGAACTTGCTAGGTAAGTAGACTCGTCTCTGTGTGTGCCGTTATGTGCGTGTAGACATGGGGTGGGGCATTCAACGATGCACCCTGTAGTAACGCAATATGTGTTCATGTGGTGCTGGCGCTCCACCCTGGACAATCCAGATCCCCAAAGGTTCCTGGAAGAACTCGAACAGTTGCTGTGAGAAAAAAAATCAATCAGAAAATGTCCGCTGGAAGTGCGATCAGTTTCTTTGGTTTCAACATCATTTACTTGTATGAATGCCTGTCTTTGGTTATAGTTAGCTGTTCGATGCAAGTGAAGGTCCGTTGCAAGGTCGTCTGGCAGGTTGTGCCAAATTCATCAATACATAACATGTTGAAATCCAGGTCGGTTGCAAGGTCGTCTGGCAGGCTGTGCCAACTTCATCAATACATAACATGTGGAATTACAAAAAAATGTGTTTTCGCCTAGGCGAAATACTTGTTTTTTCATTTCCTGCACCAGAATAAGGGGGTTTCTTGTCTTTGAACTCACATCAAAACAATACAGGTCGAATTAGTTGGGGAGTTCTGAGAAACATCAAAAATGATAGTTTCGCCTAGGCGAAACGCTAGATTTTGATTTTATGCACCAGAATCACGGGTTTTTCGCCTTTGAAATCACATCAACCAAAATCCTATTGGCACGACCACATCAAACATCATCCATGACACCCCGTTGATCACAAAAACACCACGGCCAGATAAAGGCCGTGTTCCTAGTTAGTTAGTTAGTTTGGAGAGTAGATTGGAACTGGTAGTATAATAATAATGATGATGATAATACTAATAATAATAACACATGACAGTTATAGGATATAACTTCCCCAGGATATGCTATGGCTTGGTGTCAAACCAAGGATCTACATTCTCCCCAATTTATGATGGGGATGGCTTGATGTACCTTGAGGTTTTCCAAATTGGTGATGATTCACATGATATGTACTTTTGATACCTGGGAATCATGGCGAAAAAAGTCATGTCGATGGTTCAGAAGCTCATTTTCCCTACGATTTAAGGCTTAACTAGGGTGTCTACCCCATTTTCGTACATACTCAAATTGGAACTACTGCAGTTGGTGCGTTAAATCCTATAATATTCTCATTGCATATCAAATTTTCATGAATTTCATCATCAATAATTTGAGCTATGCTCAGCGCACTGGATGAGAGCCTTGGTTTGCCATGCTTTCCATGGCCGTGCTTAATGAGTGTCCATCCTGTCTTCCGGTTGGTAATTTCATGACATCCACTGGCTAAGAACCTTATGTTTCCTATGAAAATAGCTGCAGGAGTATACCCCCAGTTTCAGACACCCATAGAATTCCCACTTGTAAGTGGATTACAGGGCGCAGTTCTTGACCATATTTATGTAACAGCTCCAAAGTTTGATGGCTACTATTCCGAGAATGATTGGAGTGAAATGTAGCAAGCTCCGGTAAACAAATCTGCCACCTAGGAGACCTAGGAAAAGACATTGATGAAAACGAGCCAAGAAGAAGCCATTTCTAGCCCTGATGTTCATGGTTTGTAGGTTATGGTCTGCACCAAACATGAATATCCTTCAGCACCCAACCAAATTGATGCCCTTATAGCGCATGGAATGCGGTGAATATCATCGCTGGGATGGGATTTAGAACATGCTGGATGAAAAATGATACCAGGGGGGCCGAAACACGGTGCAACCGTTGATTTAGAACATGTTAGAACTAGGCCGAAACGCGGATCAGTTTACTGAGTTGACTGGTGAAACCGCAATGTCTCTCATCGTGACTAGAACATCGGCCCATAAATCCAGCAGCCGCACCTGCACAAGCTGCACAAGCTGCACAAGCTCCCACCACTGCCACAGGACATACAGAGCGGCCCATCAGGACTGCCGCCTGGCAGCAGTAGGGATGTGGCATGATGTGGCTATGAGTCAAAACCAAACGGTATCCTGGGTACCCTAAAATAGCTGGCTTATGGATGTCAATTCCCCTATGGTAATGATAAGTTTTGATACATCCCAAACGCAACAAGGAATTCCATGGACCTGGAAAATAGTTGTTCATGTCGGTTTGTCTGAAAATATGGTACCTATAAAAACAGAAGAGCCCATGCATACCTGCTCTCTAAAAATCAAAACATGCTCTATCGTTTTACCTATTGAAATAGCCATTTTGGGATACGCACCATTTTCAGACACACCCAAATATCACCCATGTTCTCCTCAGTAAATCACCATGTTTGAATCATTTCTCTTCGTTTCCATAACAATCCCATCCATCAAATATGAAACACCCCTAGAAAGCATGGTTTTACCAGGGGATTTACCCGTAGTGGGGACCATGGAACAGGAGGTGTTCAAAAAATTGGGGGGGTGGGATTCTCCATGAGTATCCATCATTATTCTCCATATCCCACGTTGATTTAGAATAGTTGATTATTATATAAACCATTAATATTCCATGAATGATATGTTCAAAATCATGATTTCCATTTAAAAAAATGGCACATATTTGACCCATTTCGCCACGGAAAATGCGACATCAAAACCCCGCACCAAGGCCTGTCCGGTACATGCTGCGTGGGGATGCTGCACAGGCGCAGGCGGCGACCTCCCATGTAAGTCGTAAGTTGATGGTTCATACCAGCCATAAGCATGGTAAATTTGGGGATTGTGGATCCTATTGCTGTACGAACACTACAGGAACACGACTGTAGATGAATTTAGACTAAGATGAAAAATTAGATTTCAATCTTAATAAAGATAGAGATGGCTTAGATGAAGATTAAGATAGTGTGCACTCGTGCAAAAAGCAGAAGGGATCCATCTACAAAGATGTGCCTGAAGTTTCGGAAGATAGTAGCCTTATAGAAGGGATCAACCGTACTTGAGTCATATAAATGGTGATGGACTCATCAAATCAATAGGGAACCAATGTTCTATTTTTGGGACCCGTCTAATATAAATCTACCAGAAGTGATGCTTCAAAATTCAGGAAACAAAGAAATACTCTTTGAGGACCAAACCGGACGAACAAATTCAACTTTGGGTTTGCCATATAAATCAAAGCTGAGTGGTTGAATTAATCTGAATTATCTAAGTCATTCTTAATACATACTGACAATAAAAAAGCATAGCAAGACCATAGAACTCACCCCATTTCTTGGATATTTACCTATCATTTCCCCATCATCAAAAACCCATGGCGCCGAGGCACAGATGTTTTTCCGTGAGGCGTGCCATGATGGCATCCAGCCTAGGAGGCGCGCTGCGTAGCGCTACGTAGGATGATTAGTATCAAACCCTACCCGGATTTTTTTCACTGTACTAGTGGATGTTTATTTCCCCAGTCATATGGTAATAATGGGTTTTGATCATTTTGACCCATCCCCCTTTAGTTATGAATGGTCAGTTCTGAATGAAAGGTCCAAGGTCGCTTACTATACTTGGATGAACAAATCTTGGATCAGATTTCAGTAGAGCAATCCCCGAAAGTCAGATGGGGTCTGACATATTTGGATGAAGCTACTTGGATGGCTCTGACGTGGGATATACCCCAACTAAGCAGTGGTATATTTATAGATAATATTTACCCTCTGGTTATTTAACATAGCCATGGAAAATCACCATTTTTAATAGGTAAACCCAGGTAAACCATCTATTTCTATGGGCCATTTTCCATGATTATGTTAAATAACCAGATGGTAAAGAACAAAAAAAAAGTACCAATGTTCACATCCGCACGGCATGTTCTTTTGAAAACAATGATAGTGAATTACTGATCTTTCTTTTAAACGGAGGGGTTTACGATTACAAATGATGATCAGGTGAAATGTCCCAGTGGCTATTTGTGGATACGGGGTGCATCCCGGGATTTTGCGAATGTGGCTTTGCTGACGACTGTTAAGCATTAAGAAAATACTCCAGGAAAAGAGCCAACGGCTTATGAGTTATAAGATGTTATAACATTGATGACTTAGTCATAACAAAATCGATTATTATGGATTATAACAAGCTTCTTGCGAGAAAATCATGAAACAGACTATATTGGGTTATAACCAAGAAATGATTGATCAAATGATTTATCAGACAACAAACATTGATGTTTCTAATGACAACTCATATGATAGTTCATTTTCCTTATTTTCACCAGGCCCCATCGTTCATCGGTTGGTGGTTAAAAAAAAAAAACACGGTGCTCCGACAAAAACCTCAGCTTCCGTGCTCCGACAAATTTCGCCGCAGACGCTGCAGAGGCATCTGGCGTTTCGGCCAGGACTAAGCAGGTTTCGACCGGGTGGTTTTTATGGGAAAATCATGGGAAGGATATGGGAAATCCTCAAACTAATGAAGCTTTAGTTCGGGAAAATCATCTACTGGGATCTTCCATTGCCACATTTGATTGCCGGAGTTGTTTCGCAAAAATGATATCCAATGACCGTTTTGGGGCCTTCAAATCGGCTTTTGGGCTACTATTAAGTCAAGTGCATCACTAGAAGTGAGGCCCTTTTATGATACCCTCTGGTAAACTAACGTAACTATGGAAAATCATAATTTTTAACGGGTAAATCCACTATTTCAATGGCCATTTTCAATAGTTTTTTGTATGTTTACCAGAGGGTACATATCTTGGAATCCAAAAATAATCGAAGTGCACAAAAAAAACCTGCCGACCGGCACCGCTACTGGCCCAATGTTGGAGTGCTGGGAGGTGATCTGCAGGGTACGGAAAGTGTCTTCAATCTGCGTGCCAAACATGGGAAGGAAGTCATTCCCTGGACAAAAGGCGAGAAGCTCAAGACTCAAAACCCTAACCATTAGCGAAAACTAATCACAAACCTCCTTTCACCCTAAGATGTCGAAATGAACCTGTAAAAGTGGTGCCAAACATAGGGTACAGTCCAATTGAATGGTTTATGATCATTTTCCCCGTTGAAGTAGCCATTTGGAGGTATACCTCATTTTCAAGGGAAAAACAAATATCATAGTGTCAACTATATCAGCCATATACCCCCCATTATATCCCCATGTTTGATGCATAAACCTTATAAAGCCTATTATTTTCCCGTTAAAAACATTTAAAAACAAAACAAAATAGTAGGTTTTTCATATCAAATAGCGAAAAAAATTGTTAAAAATCCCAAGAATATAGAGGTTTTAATGGCTTTCCCGTTAATGCTTAAAACGACTATAAATCCCATAAAAGATGCCATGAAGACGCCATAATTTCCATCGACCTCCTTCGGAAGAGGCGGTGGTTTGCCAAACCTCGGGCCCCACGGGGATTGGGAACCAACAAACAATGAGATATATACAGTACATCTCCATATTATACATATATATATAACCAATTAGTACCTATGGGATATGATAAGATGTGTGTGTATAATATATATATATATATATGTAGTACATAACCATATATGATATATATAACCAACTGTGTGATATTCGGGTATCTCTGGAAATGGGGACTGCCTGCAAAATTCTTATCGCACCGGGCAAAATGAGGTTCCAAACAACATGAAATTTGCAGGTGTGCAATTTTTATTGCCATCAGTTACCAAAGGGTTCCTCGGTAGCCTGCCAAACCATATTTGGTTGTACACTTGTCGTTGCGTTGCGGGATTAATCGCATGATCATTCAGAATCATTCATTGCAATGTTCAATAGTTGGGGTTTACCCTCTGGTAAACATACAAAAAGCTGTTGAAAATGGCCCAGTCGAAATAGTGGATTTACCCATTTTCATACCATGGTGTTGATTTTCCAGTTCGTCACGTAAACGTTTAACAGTATGTTCAATAGTTGGGGTTTAATGCCCATGATCATATATATATATAGACACATCTTATCATATCCCATAGATGCCCATATTTTGGTTGAATCTACACCCCCTGATGTCATCCTGCCAAAGCTTTGGGTGGCTGGATCGACATCTTGTTTTGACCAATTTGGATGTTGGTTTGGCAAAACCCTCTGGTTATGACTAACAGTTCGCCATGGTATAGATGACCCATAGAAATAGATGGTTTACCGAACTTAATAGCCTGGTGGATCTTTCCATGGCTATGTTAAATAACCAGATGCTAAGTACACCATTTTTCCAAAGTAGTCAACGTCTCAGAGTTTTTGATTGTTCTGAACAAGTGTGTGAGTGGAATATATTCAATTTCTAAACGGGTATAGTCCCACTATCTAATTATCACCTTCACATTTTTACTGTTTTTTTACATGGATGTTTTGCTTTACTGTCATCGTTTTGTTGTTTTACTCCCATGTTTTAGTTACTAAACTCACAATCCTTACTGTAGTAAATAAAACAAAAGAAGGAAAAAAAGAAAAGAAAAGGTTTCTAACAATAGAAGCCACTCTTTACTCAACACACAAGGTTTCTATGGTATCCAACCCGATCCAATCCCCGAGGCACTCTCCAACGATGGGCTCTCCGGGCTCTCCGTCGTCCTGCATGGAACCGGGATCCCCATGGTCTCCGGTGAAGAGTTTCCAAACCAATGCAAGTACTGTAGAGTGTATGTTTGTGTGAATATGACTGAATATATGTCTGCACATGTGGGAGCGTATGCATGTAATGTCATGTCACGCGTGTCATGTAATGTCATGTAATGTCATGTAATGTCATGTAATGTAATGTCATGTCATGTAATGTCATGTAATGTAATGTCATGTAATGCAATGTAATGTATGTATGTATATATTCATCTATACGTGTATATATATATATATAAGTGTGAGTATGTAAATGTAGGTATCTGTAGGCATCTGTATTTATCATAATTTATTAGATGCATCTATATATCGAATCTAATCCAACCAAACCCAATCTAATCCAATGTAGTAAATAGATTTTTTGTTTGATATTGATAAAATGAAGATTTGGTAATTTAATGGAATAAAAAAGGGATAGAGCCTACAAATACCAACCAAACGTGCGGATAGTTCTTCAATCATTCCTCAAGGTCAAGAAATTAAAAATATGTTTTCAGAGCGGTGCTTTATCAAAGACGTTTTTCACCAGACATCGCAGGTGCCAGTGCTTTTGAAAGGTCCAAACTCCCGTGGAACTGTTTTTCGTTCACAAATCATGTGCCTTCTCCGGAAGCGCCCGAACCGCGTGCCTCGGTCATGTTGGACATTGATGATGCAAGACCCAGGATTCCACCAAGGTCTTGGTCTTTAGGATGAAAAAAACATGGGAAATGCACGAAGAATTGGGATCGTTTTTCAGCAACAGACCTATATAAAATAGACCTAAAATGAATGCTCAGATATCGCGGGTATGTGTTGAATGCCAAGGTCTTGCGGCACCTTGAAGCAAATTCTCACTGGTATTGATCACCTGACTTCTTGTTTCAAAACATCAAAGATGTTTTTTATGTAAAACAATGCCATCTGGACCATCCCCCAGAAAAATCACCATAAATATATAGGTGGTATACACATGTATACACTTACCATTCCCGGTCATGGGTGGTAAAAATAGCATTGTTTTACCCACATGAAAATTGGTTATCAACCTACAAAAGTGGCGCTTAACGACATCTTCTGAGGATATCAAGTGGGAGGATATCAAGCGGGAGGAGATGGTAAGCAACTGGTAACCAGGTCGGCTTCTGCGGAGGCAAGTTTTGTTCTGTTTGTTTCGACCAAAATGAGGGCCACCCCGACGTGAACAAAGCGGAGTGTTTGGGAAATCTTACTGTTTTGGAGTTGTTGTGTGAAGTTTTTTATGTTTGTGATCTTAATACTGAAATAGAGTGCAGCGGTAAAGTAAACAGAAATTATGATGTACAAGACCAGAGCAGGGGATAAAGCCCATGGTGGGATTGTTTCACCTTGGAAAATGTATGGTGAGACCACTAAAGTGTACGCAAGCTATAGGCTCGAAACCGTTAAACTAAGGTGTTGACGGTCTGAACCCACGAACTATATACGATTCCAATGCTGACTATGGATAAGAATGCCTATTCGTATACATCCGAAGAAATATAATAAATGACGAGGATCGATAGCATCTTGAGGTGTGAACATCTAGCAACATGTGGGTTGCACATACTCAGAACCAAAGAAAAATCCCATCCCATACTCAGGTGACAAGCGCCCTGAAATGGGATCGAGAAACACGAAGAAATCCCGTACGCGCATGAGGGTTGAATTACGGGTGTTTTGATTGGTTGGCGGAGCTTCATGGAAAACATTGCCCTCTAATAAAAAACCTAGCTATGGAAGCCTCGGCCCAGAAAAACGGATGATTTGCCGACAACAAAAAACTGCTGATTTTCCATTGCTATGTGCGTCACCAAAAGGTATCTCCTCAAATCCAGCATCATCCATCTCATACCCTCCTTTTGGACAAGGTCGGATGATAGATCTGGCTGGGCTAGCTTCTCCCATATCGCATGGGAAACAACTCGCAACCCTGCAGGTTGCAAACCATGGTGCGGTTCCACCCTTTCAAGCAAGTTGTGGGATAACAAACTTGGGGTGCATCCCAGCGCAAGTGGTTACCACATTCATCCATTCTGGTAGTAAAAAGGTGGCAATGGTGGCTAAATCCTCCAAAAAAATTGAGGTTTTTTCGCTCGCTGGGAAAATCAACTACCCTCTGGTTATGGCTGACATAGCCATGGAAAATGGCCCATAGAAATAGATGATGTTCCCAGCTACAAAGCTCCATTTATGTTGGGGATTTTCCATGGCTATGTAACAAATAACGAGATGGTATTTCGAAATGTGCTATGTTTGATTACCAGAGTGTAGATGGATTATCATCCCACAATACCCATCCCAGGAAATACTCATGGATAGTCGGATAGTCGGCATCCCGGCATGACATGGGTGATTAAAATAATCCCCGATAGTAAACTAGGCAACGGCTTCACAATCCCTAACTCATCACCAAACAGCCATCATGTATCAGTTGTATCACTATTTTTCACAGTCAAAAAAAACAAACTATTTTGTGGTTAAATCCCCTATTCATCACCAACCAACAATCACATTTAAGCCATTAAAAATACCCCCTGTCCCATCTCATGAAATATTGGTTGGATAATAGGTCTCACTATGGTTTATCATAATCTGCGAAGCGAAATGCAACAAGTGCAAAGCCACTGAAGGCACGCACAGCTTGAATGTTTTCTCGGCTACGGTCACGAGTGAAGTGACACAACGAGGACCTGTCGGATTGATGCAGGCCTCCTTGAGATCTGGTGCCTTTGTCACCTGATCTCACACGCTCAGCGCCAGACGGTGCTTTCCGTCCGGAAAAGCTAAGCCCATCAAACTTACCAATTCTTCGATTCGTCCGGCTTCGAGGTGTTTTGTTCCAAGGTCAGCTGTGTTGATCTTTGTTCCAACCTTCTCCAGTGAAATCTCTTGGTCATGGGCCTTCTGCTGCAGCCACAAGTAGCACCGGGCAATGTGCTTTGCCCTGCCGTGTCCACGGCGATTCATCATCGCCTTCGCTGCCGTGGCATCGAAAACTAATGCCCCTTCCAGACTGCAGCCCAAATCCATCATAGTTGCCAAGCCACCCAACAACGTTGACCCAGCTTTGATTCCAGCGTAAAATTCACTTTCACCACTTGACAAAGAAATCACATGTTGTGTGGAGCTGTAAAACTTCAGAAGATGTTGCCCATGGTACAAAGCTCCACATGATGTTGATTTCCTCGATTCCTGACATCCAGCATCGTCAGAATCGCTGTGGATCCGGAGGTGTGTTTGCTCCTCCTGATCTTCGTAAATCCATGTCAACCTTGGCTTCCCAGCCAAGTACCTGCACATCCGTTTCAAGCCATTCCAACTGCTGCGCGTAGGACTCTGCATTCTGCGCGCCAACTCCTTTGCGGCGTAGTTGATGTCTGGCCTGTCCAATGCCAAGTAGTTGCATCTCATTGTTAAACTCCGATACCTTTTGCAGTCATCACCAGAAAGCGGTGTCTCATCGGAATCTTTCACTGATACCCCAGGGGTTCCAACGGGTTTTGCCCCCTTGAGGTTCAACTCATTCAAAACAATCTCCACATGTCGAGGATCTGCTTCGATTGTTGTGGCACGTTCTCCAAAATGAATCAACCGATTCAACAACGCAACATCCTGCACATCTGTTGCATCCGGCCCCAAAAGACCTCCAAATTTCAGTTCATATCTTGTTTCCAGTTGATCTCGAAGCCACAACAAATCATCCTCAAAGCCCAAAACTGTAATGTCATCGCCATGAATGGAGACCTTCAAGTCCCTTGTTTGATTGACGAACAAGACAGGGCTTCCCAAACCAGGAGTAAAACCATTGCATGTAAAGAAATCTGTAATCTCCAATTCCCAGCAAGCTGCAGCATCACGGCACCCATACATTGCACGCTCCAATCGCCCACAAGATCCCTCAGGGAGTCCAGCCTCCTCTGGGAGGGAAACATAAACTGCTCGGAAAATCTTTGCCGTCCAGTGAGCTCGTCGCACATCGATGAACATCACCTTGCGACGTCTGCCACGTGAATCCACTGCCTTGCCAGTTCTCTGCAAACTCAAAAGCATTCTCACCGATTCCAAAGGTGGAGTCGCGGCAAAAATTGCCTCAATGCTGGAGTGTCTCACCTCCTGCACCACCAGTCTGCTGCGGTACGAAGGATGCAGCTCGTCACCTTTGTTGATGTCGATCCACCTCGTTCCAATGGGAGCTTTGCCAGTGACCTCCCAACACTCAGCGACCGGAACTTCAACCCAAACTCCATATGCGGGCGAAGTCAATCTCCTCCAGTCTGGCCTGTCTCACCCGGCCAGCCTCTAGTGCCTTGCCCGACACCTCATCTGTAAAACTCTCCCAATCTTCATCATTGCCAAGTTCCAAATTGAGATCCACCTCCTGATTTGTTGGACCAAAACTCAAACTGTCCACCGGGATATCCTTTTTCAGCTGCCGTCTCAAACCTCGAAGCACTGCACGAATCAAACCATCTGGGTAAACTTCACATTGCTTTGCCTTGCCACCCATCAGAGGTATGTGTCGATGCCATGACTTTCCAGGGACTCGATGATAAAACAACGTTTCGACACGAATGCTCCCTTCAGGGATTGCAAACTTGACCAAATCCTTGGTGGCATTTGAAGCATCTTGCAAATCTTGAAGTACCCGACCATTGGTGACATCCAATGTCACTCTCCTCACAACGTTCTTCCACTTCGGCCCTTTGCGCCCAGGAAGTTGTCCCTTCTTAGGCTCATAGCAGGTCTCTCTCCAAACCTCGATGGCACCTGCCTCATTGGTGCATTTCTTTTCCAACTCCTCCGCAATGCAAGGGCTGTTTGTGAGGAACCCAGTGCGCTTCTTGGCATAGCCCCAAAGACCATCTGAATCTTGGAGCTGCATGCCCATTTCGCACATGTCACCATGAACCTTTCTGACTGAAGGTTCGTCCTCCAACTTCTGCATTTTCTCATTCTTCCATGACTTTGCCAGCGCTGGGTGCTCATGGACGAAGTACTTGTTGGCCTTCATCCTCTTCTCATACTGTTGGCAACAAAACTCAAGGTGTTTCGTTCCCTCCTGCAGCTTTGCCTCGAAGACCTCTGGGTCCATCTTGTCCTTGTTGAGCTCTTGAAGTGCTGAAAATGGCCCGCAAGGTGGGCAACCCAAAACCAAATCTGGATCAAGCATTTCCACCAAACGATCTGCCCGATCACAGCACTCCTGCTTGTTGAAGTCCCAAGGTTCTCCAAACTCATCTGTTGTCCTCAAGTCCAAAGCCACTCCATTCGCCATAGTTCGACCACCAACTGCCGAAGTCAACCTTGGCGGTGAGAAAAGTTCCACCACCGTAGGCCTGCTGAAGTCGTAGGCCTCCTTGACACCAATGGCACCCATTTGCAGCAAAGTCCTCCTGTCGTTGATCTCCTCGTCCAACATCAATTGCGCTGTCTCCGCAACGCTTGCTTCTCTGACTGCCGTCTTAAAGTTCTTTTCAGCAGCCACCATGTGCAATGCTCCAATGTCCATTGCACCTTGAGCTTCTTGTTGAATTGGATCCTCACCAGCCACATCAGCCATGCCGCCCCCCTCCTCCGGGGGCGACGGTGCCGGAAGACTGGAAGCCGCCGCCGGTTCTACCGGCAGGCCCAGGATCCGATCCATGTCCTCAAGAGCTTGCTCTTGCATGGCAACCTTCTTGGGATCTTTGCCGCCTTCTCCAAGCGACCTTTTCTTCTCATCTCTGTCATGGGCTGCGACGATGAACTCCTCAGCTCGTCGCTCCATCTTTTCAACCTTCTTTCTGCCGGCTTCTGTTTTCCTCATCTCGCCCATGATCCTTTCTTTACATGCCTTGGTGTGTGCTCGATGGGACAATCCATGCCGTGCTCGGTCACAACCATCACATCCTTCAGTGAAGCCAAACTGCTTCAGCTCCACATCTTTCCTCACATAGATTCCTCGAGGCACATAGCCCCTCTTTTTCTTCTCGACTGGCTTCTCCTCCTCTGGCGCCTCTGGTTCAGCCAACTCAATGGCTATCTCTGGTCTCTCATCCTCCAAGGCCTTTGAAGACGTCGGTCGAAGCTGCCAAGGAAGTCCGACCATCTTGTCCAACAATGCCTTGTCCCATTTCTCATCATCTGCCAGTCGTTTGATCGTCCAAGTCCTGACGACTCCCTCTTCAGTGCCAATCCATCTCATAGCTGTGCCCTCCTGGATGCCGAGGTAGATGCCCTTTTCAAAGCGCGGCTCAATCTTCCGCACATCGCGCTCTCCCTTCAAAGGTTGGTAGAGCACAGTCTCGGCGAACTCCGGAAGTTGGATTCGCCATCTCTTGCCTGTAGAACGTTCATAGGCCGTTCTCCCATCAGCTCCTTTCAAGAACCTGCTGATCAAGCACCCGCAGTAGTTGACCAGCCAGGAGAGCACTGGATGTTTTGGATGAACTCCTCCGCCATAGTGCTCTTCCAAGCTGCTCTTCAAAGTCCGTGCTTGGCCTTGAAGTCTGCCAACTGCATTCTCGATGGGGCCGTTGGTAGCTGATTCTCCTTTCACGGCATCCTCTGATCCAACATCCACCAAAACCTCTTGCACAGCCTGCCTCAAAGCCACAAGAGCTCTTTCACCATCACTCCTCAAGATGGCGTTCTGGAGGCCTAAACACCTCATCAGTTTCACCACGATGGCATTGCAGTATTGATGCCCAACTCCTTTGCATGGCATCGCAATGGAAAACAACCTCTCCGTCGACTCATCCAACATGGCCAACAGGGGAAGAGTCTCTTCTGATCGTGCACCAAGGTAGAAGTAGTCGATGGCTACTACCGGTCTTCGCCGGGCTTTCACTTCATCGCTCTCCTGAATTCTGCGATGAGCCAAAGTGCGACCACGGCCACGAACACAATGACACCAACTTCTGTATGGAAGATGGCTGATGTTATGCTCTTGCACCTCTTCCATTGTCGGTTTGACCGGGCTCGATTGGCCCAATTTCAAGGCTGATTCCTCAACCTCATGATGCAAAACTCCATCTTGAACTGCCTGCTTAACCTCTACTTCATCACCCAACTCATAGACACCTTGTTCGGCCTCTGACTGAGCTGGAGAAGTAGCGGCATATCCACTGCCACTGTCTGCTGCGTCCACATCTCCTCCACCATCTGGAAGACCACCTGGTTGATCGGCCTCCTCAATGTTGACATTGATGGGACTTACAGCCAAGTAATGTTCCCTTACAGCACTGATGGAACACACTCCGGAGCCTGCCCATGAAAACCTGCAGTTCTCTCCATGTCCACCTCGCTCAGCCTCTGCACGTAAACACCATCCTGCTGATGCAAGGCCATCTGCTCACCCGTGGCCAAGTCCTCGATGTAGCTGTTCATGTAGTAGGGCTGCAACACGATGCGGTGTCCACGATTTGCCACCTGTGTTGCAGACATGAGCACTTTGTTCACATTGGCCACCGAGAACTGGGTTTGTCTGACCATGCCCTCGTCAGTTTTCACCACTGGTCGAACCTTGTAGAGCTCAGGCACCACACTTCCATCTGCCGCTTGGAAACTCAAACCTTCTTCTGGTGCCTCACGCCCCCAATTGTTGAAGACAGTCGGAGGGCACACCGATGCTGCTGCACCGCTGTCCAACGTCACCAGCAACTCTCCTGCACCGGTTGTCAACCTTGTCAAATGCTGTTGCACCACTGATGCGGCGGAATCACCAAAGATCCTCTCAGCTATTCCCAGTGCATGCCTGCTCAAGGCACAAAGACTCCTCACCAAGAGACTCCCAACCTGAGCAGTTGCTGATTGTGGAGATGCCGGAGATGCCGGAGGGGAAGGACTCGGAGGCTTCAAAATTGTGATGTTGGGCTGTTGGGTCGAGGACGAAGCACCTGAGCTGATTCTCTTGTAATCCTCAAGGGCCGCCTTTGCATAGGCTGACTGCATCTCTGCCAACTTGGGGTCCACCGCATTCAATGCCTTAGGCTTCGACCAACAGACATCATAGTTGTGCCCAGGCTTGCCGCAGTTGCTGCACACGGGTCCTTTACCAGACCCCTTTTGGCCCTTCTTGCCCTTGCCGTCCTTGCCAAAACTCTTGCCCTTCATCTTGCCCTTACCAAAGCCATCTTTGCCTCCTTTGCCCTTGCCATTCTTCGATTTGCCTTTGCCCTTGGACTTGCAGTCTCGAGCCAGATGAGGTCCTCCACAATTGTAACAGCCCTTCGTAGTCGAAAGCGACCCAACATCCATGGTGGTCTGACTGACCGGCGCCACCTGATCCAGGTAAGAGAAAACCTCTTCCCTCAAGTCCACATAGTTCACGAATCTTCCAGCATTCAACTGAAGATGTTCCCGAAGTTTGTTCGGCGCCATGTGGATCAGTGCGGCCATCTTCATCTGCTCTGAGACCTTCTCCGATCCAGGGCGAGCTTCATAGTCAACTATCCTGTTTTCCCAAGCCACCACCTCTGCCGCCAACTTGTCCAGGGCAATGTTCTCCTGAGGATTTGCGATCTTCATCAAATGAGCTCGTTGACGGCCAATGGTGACAGGGTTGAACCGAATTTGGAGAAGACGAAATGCCTCCATGCCGTTGGGGCGTCTTGCCTGCCTCACCAACGACCTCGCTTCTCCCGACGTGTAGCTGCTGAGCATTGCGTACACATTGGACTCCGCATATGCCAGCAGCGTCGGGTCGAGCATGGGAAACTTCACCTTCAGCAGGGCCAAGTCTAGAGGACTCCTTGGCTGTGCTGTCACAATCCACTCCAGCACTTCATAGATACCAGGCATGGACGAGTCGGCCAAGGTGATGATTGAATCCGACCAATCCTGAAAACTCACCTTGCTTGTCACTGGGTCATATGTTGTGGGTTTACCCAATGACCGTCCATCCACTCCACCCTGCTGGATTGCATATGCCACTGCAGGATTGACAGCCGGCCCACCAAGGCCACCGAAGCCCATCCCACCGCCTCCACCTTGTTGTCCAAACTGAAAAACAGGCGGTGGAGAACTCGATCCCGGTGCATTTGCCTGCGGTGAACCAGTCGGCGCAGGAGGGGGTTGCACCGCGGCTGAACTCATCTGATGCACCTGGGACTGCAATGATTGCATCGCTTGACCCAACTGTTGTACCTGATCCATGCTCACCTGTTGTTGCATCTGTCCTTGTAATTGTTGCACTGTCTGCCCGATCTGCTGTAATTGATCCGCAGCCAAAGCCGGAAGTTGTTGAACTTGATCTTGGAGCGCCTGGACAGCTTGCGACACCTGATTCATCTGATCCTGATGTTGCTGCTGCTCTTGTTGGAAACCAGCTTGCACCTGTGTCACCACTTGCTGAATCACAGTTTCAGTTGTTTGCTGTGTCCCATGCAAGGCCACTCCAGTCCCTTGAACCATATTGCCCAGTTCATCCAGCCTCTCACGCTGCCGTTGTTGTTCCTGCATCATCTGCTGAATCATGCCCGCGATCTGTTGCATCCCAGGCTGTTGTCCTGTCGGTGAACCATCTGCCTGAGACATGTCGTAGATGAAAATCGATCCCACTACACTGCTGAATGCCAAAAGGGTCCAAAACCCACACCTCAGGAGAAAATCCCACTGAAAGATTCCGGTTTTGTACCGTAGACCCGATCCACCAGCACGGGGCGTCTGCTCAGCCAGCCGTGCACTTCTCAGTACAATGTCGCCAGCAGAGGCGGATCGACCTCTATGTCCACCAGTCACAAATCGCGGTCGGGCAGAGCTGGACGTATCCAGCTCCGCTACCATGCGAAGCGAAATGCAACAAGTGCAAAGCCACTGAAGGCACGCACAGCTTGAATGTTTTCTCGGCTACGGTCACGAGTGAAGTGACACAACGAGGACCTGTCGGATTGATGCATAATCATAATCCAAAAAAAAAATGAGGTAGTATTTCATCCCCTATTTCATAACCACTCAACACTGCTAACTTGAAGAGCGTTTTTTTCGTTGACCGAAACGGACCCTACCGGGCGCTCGACACATGCTGCTGCAAGTGAAGTTGAAGAGCCTCGTAGTCATGGTCCTGCGCCATTGGTCTGGAGAAACATCGTCCCGGGGATAATTTTAATCATATATCATATATATAATTATCTATAAATATTATAATTATCTGATATTATATGATTAATTATTATAATATAGATATTTATATGATAATATGATTTATAATATATTATATTATAATTAATCATATTATCTATAAATATTATAATATATATAATCATATATCCCTGGTTGAGAATCTACGGCACCGTGTTTGTTTTCAATCCCAGTCGTTGGGGTTTCCCAGTCGCCATGGGGGAACCTCAAAAATGGAAAATCCGAAAAGAAAATGAATGATGACTGGGGTACCCCTATTTTGGGAAACACCCATATATTAAAAAGGTGAATATTCCTTAAATAGCTGGGGGTATAACCCATTTATTAAGTGGGATGCACCCATTAGTCGACTAATGTGGGATTAAGCCAAATTAGAAATGACATTAGTAATAAAATGGATGTGATCATGGTTAAAACTTCCATAAGTTGGAATACAACCCAATGATAAGCATTAGTCCGGGTTGAATTCCTGATGTGTAACCTTATGCAACATTAGTCCAGCTAATGCTTCAGATTATTAACAGTATGTACAAAATAAATACTCATGGGTTGTAAACCTACCATGTGGGCATTGTTTTTTTTACGGAGATTGTTCATGATTGGGTTTAATCCCATCTCTTTTTCCAGATTACCCTCTGGCAATTTGTTACAGTTTGCTATTGAAAATGGCCATAGAAATAGTTGATGTACCCATTAAAAATGGTGATTTTCCATAGTTTTTTGTAAGTTTACCGGAGGGTACTACTTTCACAACAACCATTTCTTTGAGCAAACAGGACCTGTATGGACCAGCTCCAGCCGCTGGCCCCCCAATGCAGCATAGACGAGCGAAAATCACCAGGCAAAACAAAAAAACAAATCCTGGCAAATACATCTAATATTAATATATATATATATCTATATCTGTTGATGGCAAATACATCTACTATCTAATATATCATCTGGCAAATAAAAATAAAAAAGAAATTGAGACTCATTTGATCCTTTAATATCAACCAAATTAATCCTATTATATAATCGTATTGTAAATTGAGACCTCCTTAGTCGGTTCGGGGGGGTAATTTTTTTATAGGACTCCTAGTCCCCCGATCATCTTAAATACCCTCAGAAAACCCTGGTCTAGTATCGGATATCCATTTTCGGGCCCTCTTGCGCCTTTAGTCTTCAAATAAAAATACATATATATATATATATTATACATGTGTATATATATAATATATATATATATATACACGTATACATATATATATATATATCGATCTATCTATCGTTCCATCCATCCATCCATCCATCCATTCATCCATTCATCCGTCCTTCCATCCATCCATCCATCTACCTACCTACCTACCTACCTATCTATCTATCTATTCACAAGAGTCCCATTATATATAGGAGTAATACTGGCAATTTTGTCCCCTTTGTTCCTGGGTCCATAAGTGAGGGGGGCCCACATTGTACCAGCCAATGATGCTTGTTGATGGTTCTAAAGTCATCATAGTTAATGGATATGAACAGTTATTAATGATGAATGAAGAACATAACCATTAAGAATCATTAATAACCATCATTGATTAAAAATTGCTACCGTTAGTGATGACTAATGCTAAACCAACGCTAACTAACGTTGATTTATGTTGATTTAATTATTAGTGATCATTATTAACAGCTATAACCCCTAGTGAATATCCCATATTCCCCCAGCTATATACCAGTGTTACCCGACGTATATACCAAATATATAATATCTATACTGTATAGTAATCAGTATTTTCCAGTATGTTCAGTATTAATGATACTGGTATAATAATAACAATTGGGATTAAGAGCTTCAACCTGGTTGGTTATCCCCAGTCATATTCCTTCATATTCCCCTAGATTCTAGACAATCTATACGGCTAGTGGTAGCCATTCCAGTGGCTTAAGATCCCAACTATAACTGGACCAAGCCTATCCTACTTCTAGCGGTGTTTTTTCCCACATGTACTACTGGGAACGAAAAAGTTGCATTTGTTTCATCCCATTTCACCCTCATGAACATATATGAAAATATCCCATCAAAGCATCCTGAATATAGTCCAGAAAAAATCATCCCATCAAACCATCCCATCAAACCATCCCATGGATCATGATCAAACCATCCCATTAATCCATACATGATCAGATCATATCCATGCAGTATACATCTCCATGTCATGACCATAAAGATGGATCATGTCCATGAAAATCCCATGAATCATCATAGATCCTATGGATAAAAAAAACTTTTTTGTTCACGCACACGAATTATCATCCCATATCTACCATGGATATGTCTTAATAATTTAATGCATTTATCCCATGAAATCCTGGGAAATTCCCAGTCGGAAATCACTGGTTTGAAGGTGATTTCTATCCCAGTGACAAAAATCCCAGTGACTGGAAATCTGGAAATTCCCAGTGGGAAATCACTGGTTTGAAGGTGATTTCAATCCCAGTGGGAAATCTGAGTGTAGAAATCACTGTTGAAGGTGAAATATCCCATGAAATCCCAGTGACTGGAGTGGGAAATTCATGGAAATTCCCAGTAGGAAATCTGGATGGTTCCCATTTCCCACATTTCCCACCTCCAGGTGCACCCTGGTGGCCACAAACTTGGCCACCTGCTCTGGTGCCTCGCCTCGCAGCAACGCGCCCAGCACCTCGGCGACTCGTTGGGATTCGGGGAGAAAAACGGTGGGAAAAAACAGGGTGATTTCACCAAGAAATGGTGATTTCATGGGATTTGAATGGGATTTCACCAAGAGAAATGGTGATTTCATGGGATTTACCCGGTAGGTTGGGTTGAAATAAAAAATTGTCTTGCCTTGCGAAAAAATCTGCGAATTCACCGATTTCATCCTTGCTCCATGAACCCTCTATCGCTTCAGAATTTTCGGTGAACAGTTGCTGACAACTGCTGGTTGGCTGGGGGGTTTTCGGTCTCAAGACGAAGCCCTGGCATTTTCATCCCAAAACCAGATACCCTCTGGTTATGTCAACAGTTCGCTATTGACAATGGCCATAGAAATAGTGAGTTTTCCCATTAATAGCATGGTGATTCTCCATAGTTTTTTGTTAGTTTTACCAGAAGGTATTTTTCATCAACCAAAAACTCCTTCAGCCAATGATGGCCATTTTCATCCCAGTGACCCATTGGCTCAGCTCATTGGAGTCGCTGTGACTGACATTGCTCGGCTCCTCAAAAGAACATCCAAGGGCGAGGCGCCGCTGAAGTTTACCAACAAGGGGGGTTCTACTACAAAACCTTCAAAAACATATAGATTATTAGATTATTATTAGATCAAAGTTGATGAAATATGTAGCCTTCAAAATGTTCAATTTACTTTTAAAAGAAAAACTAAAAAATAAATAAATAAAATGTAAAAATTACGTGTATATTATGTACGGTTATACAAGACCTTCGATTGTTAGATTGAAGTTGGTTTTTTAAAAAAACGGTTCTAACAATAGTGGCAAAATCGAAGCTTTTCTGAATCTTTTAAGGGGTTACTCTACATTCTTGATGGGTTTTTGTTGCATCTCAATCTATCTTTATTCTACCTTGGGTGGGTTGATTTCAGGGATGTTTCATCCAATTCTGGGAGGAAATTCATGGCATTTCACTTGGATTTGTTGCAATCGTATTGGCAATAATCCAAGTCAGAAATGGGGAAATTACGGAAAATTGGATGGTTTTTATTACTTATGAGGTAAAAAAAAAAACTACTAATATGATCTAATATGTACATATTCCCCCCAATAGTCATGATTTGATACTTAAATGGTACCATCCCAATTAAACAGCCGTTTGGGGTTTATTCATCCGGGGTTGACATTACAGGGTTAGACTCTGACAAGAGGTAGACTTCCCAACAAACCACCATCAAACATCATCTCTTGGAGAGTATCCCCCCATCCACTTTTCCAGCTTGGACCCTTGGACTTCGGTTACGAGTTGCCGATGTTTCATCACTGGGTTTGCTACCCGAAGAATAATGGGAAAACCATCACATCCACGGGTTTACCGTTATCTTCCCGGTTTTTACACATGGCCTTAATTTGGGGTAATCCCCCATTTTCAGACCCAAATCAGCAATCATGGGTTTCTGACAGTTTCCCTGGCGCCTTGTCATTTGCTTCTGGCACCTTCTGCTCATTTCCATCACCACCTGAGATCCACAAGCTAGGATCCTCAAAGTAGTCTGTTTCAGATAGGGAACCATCAGGTCTAATTTTTGAAATATTATTATGGTTTCTTAGAATGGGGATCCCAATGGCGCCATGGGTTTCAACATGCTGAAATTGTTTTTTTTGTTTTTTGGATGATTTGGGGTACCCCCATGACTTAGGAAACCTCCCAATATGATGTTGTCCGAAAATCGGCTCATCATTTTCCCTGTCAATGCTAGTAAAGCAATAGGATCCACCATCCCCAAGCACTTACCATTTTTACAGGTGCGCTGCCGACCATCAAAATATGGGTCGTTCATGACATTGCTGCAACGACCATGACATTGCCATGTTGGAGTATCCCCCACTAAGAGAATTCCAAAATATTTACGGCGGGGTTCAACCCCACAGGGGTGAAGCCCAATTCAGAACTCATAGTTATGGCTGGTTCATCCTGCTAAAATATGGTAACAATATAGGCTAGATATGGCTAGATGGAGGTTTCCGTTTTGTCATGGGGGTACCCATAATAGTCATCATCAACTTTAGATTGGGATTTTCATGGATTTTCCATGAAATAAACCCCCCATAAATATCGAAACCTCCATTGATCGGTATTGATTCCATTCGCCTCGGATCTTTGGAGTGCGATGATCTCCACGGCTCAGCGAAACGGCACTTTCTCCCAGACCTACTTTTGAAAAGTGTCTCTAAAATAAAATACGAATAATTGATCATGTGGTTAAAACAATAGTAAACCCGGTTCTTACCTCTCCATGTTTGATGCTTTATACCACCCATAGAAATGCTGAATTTCTGCAACAATTTGGGAATGGTGACATAGTTTTAACCACATGAAAATAGGTAAATCCCAGCAGATCGCCTCTCAGAATATCGAGTTTGAAATCCCCATGAATCCATTAAAAAACGATTGCCCCGCTGAAACTACCATGGCCATTTTACCAAGGAAAATGGATGAAATGATGATTAACCACAAAAAACCAATGGAATGGGAGTACCCTCTTTTCATACAAACCCAATTACAGTGTGGGGCGTGCCGATTTTTGTCGACCCTTCCAAAAATGAAGTTGGATAATGCTGCGAGATCCCGCAAATGACCGCAGTTCCATCCGCCCATCATGATCAACAACCCATTTTGGGGACCCAAAATAACTAATAAAAATAATAATAATAATAATAATATCATCATTCTACCAGGGGGTCGCTTGTGAAGGGATTAGAAAGTCACGAAATAAATTGGGGATTCAATGTTTTGAGAAGTACAAACCGGATGGATTGGTTTTTTATGATACAGAATGTCAAAGGGTATGTCCACAAAACGCAATAGTCGCGGCCAAGCGTTAGGGTTCCTTGTGAATGTACATTCCAAAAACATCCAAAAACAAGATCTGAATTACAGCTAAAAAAAAATACTTTACTTCGTGTGATCCCCACCATGACATTTATACATTTTCTTACTGGCAAATCTTCTGGCATTCTATCTGACATATCTTCTGACATTCTATTTGGCATTCTATCTGGCATATCTTCTGGCATATGATCTGGCATATCTTCTGGCAAATCTTCTGGCATTCTATCTGGCAAATCTTCTGCCATTCTATCTGGCATATCTTCTGGCACTCTATCTGACATATCTTCTGGCATTCAATCTGGCATTCTATCTGGCATATCTTCTGGCATATATTCTGACATATCTTCTGGCATTCTATCTGACATATCTTCTGGCATATTTTCTGACATATCTTCTGGCATATCTTCTGGCATATCTTCTGGCATATCTTCTGGCATATCTATCTGGCATATCTTCTGGCATATTTTCTGGCATTCTATCTGGCAAATCTTCTGGCATTCTATCTGGCATATCTTCTGGCATATTATCTGGCATTCTATCTGGCATATCTTCTGGCATATCTTCTGGCATATCTTCTGACATTCTTTCTGAAATTTTTTCTCACTTTCTTCTGCACATTCTTTGTCCCATATCTTCCTACATGAGGTCCGGCAGGGAACACTTGGCGTGGATACTCGCGGTTGAGGTCCGGCCAGGGAACACTGGGCGTGGATGGTCGTGGTTGAGGTCCGGCAGGGAACACTGGGCGAGGATGGTCGTGGTTGAGGTCCGGCAGGGAACATTGGGCGTGGATGGTCGTGGTTGAGGTCCGGCAGGGAACACTGGGCGTGGATGATCGTGGTTGAGGTCCGGCAGAGAACACTGTGGATCGCGGGTCGCAGTTGAGCAAGGACGACGAGGACGACGAGGACGACGAGGACGACGAGGACGACGAGGAGGACGAGGAGGAGGAGGAGAGGAGGACGAGGCAGGAGGAGGCGGAGGAGGAGAAGGAGGAGGAGGCAACTGACATAAAATCTAACAACCCTCACTTGGCAGGTGGGGAACAAGAAAACGTGGTTTTTGTGAATGTTGGTGGACTTGTTTTTTCACCTCGCATGGAGCACGAATGTTTGTTCACTTAATTCCCATGATTTGCCGCGATGACTTTTGTATCACACGAACCACCGTGATTGTATCAAATGATGAAGTTGCTGAGTTCCGCTTGTGACTTGCAGTTCAAAACAAACATAACGTGTTTTTAATTACATAACATCCCCCATGATTGTTGTTTGAATCCCTATTTTTATTGGTAAAAACATGGTTTTTTATCAAACAAAACCTTTTTGCGTGGGCCGGAAAGCCGGCCCAGTTGCTGAGTTTCACACTTTGCTCAGTGGTATCTGCAGCCATGGCTAAAAAAAATCAGCTAGGTGGATCATTGGGACGGAACTCCTGGAACGTGCTGATTTTAAGCATGGTGCAGACCAGGAAACCCATGGTGAAATCTACAAGAAAAGGTTCTAAAAAAAATATTTCTATACATACGACATCATATATTTACACATAGACTTCCAATACTTTCCAAATTAAAGTAGTTGTCTTGAAATAATGATTTCAATGGTGTTTCCGAAATGCTAAAGGAGGTTTTCCCCATGTTCACTGTGGCAGCTGGAGCGGAAGGGTCGAGGTGTCGGCCTGGATCTATTGCGACTCTACCGAGTCTACCGAGTCTATCGAGTCTACCGCTCACAGCAGACCATGCAACATGACACTTCTTATAACCCTACATGGAATATCCATCACATGGGGCACGAATCTTGCATCAGCAAAGGTTGAAATGCGTAATTACAATGGTTGAAATTTCCCATGTGTAGTTCCCGGTCCAATTTGTTGTTCAAACGTCATTTCAATTTGCGGCCAACTATTATTTTGTGTTGGAACTGTATGAATTCTGTTCAGACTAATTGTGTGGGAGGTGACATGTCTGGTGTTTTGACCCAAAAAATTGTGGTTTTCATATGTTTTCATCAGTTTTCAGCTGCACTGTGCCCAAAGTTGATTGTTTTCACCGTTCGTGTTTCAAAGTCAGTTTGGTTTGAGCAATCTTTGCATTGGTGAATAGAACTCATGTGGAGTTGCAAGTGCCAAAGACTGTCAGAAAAAAAATTGGAAGACCAGATCAGATAAGGCTGTGTCAGGCACTCCGTGGCCTTCAACCTTCAACTGACCGGAAATCCACCCATGTAGCATGCCGGAGCATAGCATCATCTTCAAGACGCAGGCCGCGCAGGGAACGCTAACGCACCCGCCCACCCTTGACCCTATATTTACACGAAGCAACTTCCGAGACGATGTGCCATAGCATCAGCTTCAAGACGCAAGCGCAGGGAACGTCCACCCTTTACCCCATACTTACATGAAGCAACTTCCAATACAACGCGCCGTAAAGCGAAACATCATCTCCATGCGCAAACGCAAGGAACGCTAACACACCGGCCCACCCCTGACCCCATACTTACATGAAGCAACTTCCAAGACGCCGTGCTGTATAGTCGATCTTCGGTGTTTGTCTTTTCTTATTCTGATGTTTGTGTCATTAGTACCAATACCTTTTGCCAACCCGGGGGTTGAAGATTGTACACGTGTTCCAGCTGCATGTGAGGCAGCAGGGGCTGCTTGTGAGCTGTAACCCGGTTGCCCATACACCAGAGGCGGTGGCGCGTGCATGGTCTGCTGCACGGGCATAGTAGGCGGAAAGGCCGCCTGTGCTGATCCACCAACAGGGGCACCTGTCCTCTCTGGAAGGCCAATGATCATTTCTGTGTTTTGATTGTTCAAGTCTGCTCGGAGACCTTTGAGCTCATCAAGCTGGTCGCGGTTTGTGCGAAGAAGCTGATTCGCTACACTTTTGAGCGAAGTGTTAGCTTCGCGGGTGGTTTCAATGCAAGAAGTTTTGGAGCTGCGCGATCATATATTTATCGCTGACACGGCTTCCAAAGCCTTCGTCTGTTCAAGTTGGGCCCCAAGAGCCACTAGGGTGTAATGTGTTGTTGGAAACCCTCCTCGAATTTCTCCACTAACTTGGGCAGGTAGGCCAAGAGTGTAGCCTGTTCGGCCTTCTTAGCCTTCTTCAACGGAGGCTCTGCCACACTGTGCACATCTTCGGGCTCCTTGGGTGCTGCTTCTGACGGCTCCTTCTTTTCTTCTCCTGGACTGGCCAACTCAGTATGGGGCTCTCCATCCGGGAGCTGATCCGCTACACTTTTGAGCGAAGTGTTAGTTTCGCGGCTGTTGCTGCCAACTTGCCAGCTTGTGGTTTCAATGCAAGAAGTTTTGGAGCTGCGCGATCATATATTTATCGCTGACACCAGCTGCTTTCCACTCCCCTATGAAGCCTGTCAGATCGGCTTCCAAACCCTTCGTCTGTTCAAGCTGCACCCCAAGAGCCACTAGGGTGTAATGTGTTCTTGGGAACCCTCCTCGAGTTTCTCCAAGAGTGTAGCCTGTTCGGCCTTCTTAGCCTTCTTCGACGGAGGCTCTGCCACACTGTGCACATCTTCGGGCTCCTTGGGTGCTGCTTCTGACGGCTCCTTCTCTTCTTCTCCTGGACTGGCCAACTCAGTATGGGGCTCTCCTTCCGGGACTTTAACCACAGGCGTCCCGCCAGGAGCCAATCCGGTTGGCACTACACCAATCGGCATCACACCCGTTGGCATCGCTTCAGACGCGCTTCCCATTGCTTAGCAACAAAAGCGCACTACAAGACCGTGTTCCAAGTCGCTTGATTTACAAAACAAAACCGACATCAAAACTGCAGTACTAGTTGTGCGGCTTCTGCTCCTACTCACGGCTTCTGCATCGCAACTTCCAAATCCACAGAAATAAACTGTCGTTTGGAAAAAACTGGTGTTTCACTGGTTTTGTTTCCTGGGTTTCGTTTTTTAAGAGCGTTTCGTGGTAAAACGTACAAACGAAAAACTGACAGCAACTGCAACCTGAGTGTCAGCATGTGGGCCTATCTGCACTTACAAACGTTGCAGTCAGACAGCAAAAAGTCTGAAACGAGTTCACATCCTGATCAACATCGAACAATGTCCACCATTCACACATGACAAGACTGAACAGAGAACCGAAACGGAAAAGGACAGGACACCGTCACGGAAAACAGAAAAACTCCAGCAAACCATCAAGACGGGACGGGACAACCAGAAGTTGCGAAAATCCAACAGGACCTAATTACGACCACTATACTCGCTCGCGAATGCGTTGTTGGGGTCGGCCTCACCACGTCGAGTGTTTAAACCAAAACACTTCCCCAAAAACAACGGCTTTCACTCTACAAGCACTCAATTCTTTTCCACACAGGAAAACGACGAAAGCAACGTCTCAGTTGGTTTTGTCATGCACCATGCACTATGTTGTTTCTCCGCTAACACTGGATTTTCCGATGGTCTTTTCGTGATGACAACAGCCACGGACCACAAGAACAACCTTAACCGCTCGACCATTAAGAAAAATTTCCCTAGGACACTTCGAGTGGAGACCATTGCTGACTCGGCAGGGGGCACTGCTGCAGTAGCTATGGTCGCTCAACCTAGCACGGGCTTCCTCAATGGACGATTTTTGCCAGATGGCTCCCCCACTGAAGACACAGATTTTTTTTTCCTCGAGATCGGCCGATGTCGCGCTAAGGCTCGGTCCTTACATGAGAGTAAGCAGCTAAAACATTGTACAAGGACATAAGTCCTTGAAATCAGCAGATCGATTAAAACAAACAACGAAAACCACAACCACACAAAAAGCGACGACCCGCAAATCCCCCAGCCAGATTTGCGTTTCGCCAGCGGAAACAAGGCAAAAGCAAAACAGCACCAAGACACACCAAAAACGGGGCCAGAGCCCAAACAAAAACACCCATCGAATCGATCAGCTGTCGGACGCAGCGGCATCCACTGCGTCACAACCAAAAACATGCAAACTAAGAAAACGAATTAAGTATCGCAGCTGTACAGGCATAATGAAGACTCTAACTAGAGGGTTACTCTAGCATCAGACAAGCTGTACATGGACGCAGATCCACTACAAAAATCTCTCAGAGTCCGCTCAGGTCAGCTCGTCATAGGCTTTCATGGACGAAGTAGTCTTCCTCTTGACAGTCAGCTGCGATCAGAAACCTATTGTCACAAGAAGTCAACCCCCCACAAGAGGGGGGGACAGGGATGACAATGAGGAAGCAAAAAGGCCAGGGAGCGGCTTCCAATCATGCCATCACCAAAAACATGAGAAATGAAACGGGGGAGCACACCTCTAGTTTCATAGGGGAGAGACATCCATCCGTTGTATGGTCTCAGTCAGCGACGTACTAGTAGTATCCGCAAAGCTGAGCAACATGCAGACAAAAGTTTGCGTCCAAAAAATGTGATTGCATCTGCCACAGTACCAGTGCTGTCGTAGTATGGCATTCAAAGAGCTGGTTCGCACGAGATACAGACTGCAGAACTGTTCGGGACATTAGGATGTCATCGTTCCTGAAGGACCCGCAGTGCATTGCAGCACGTACCAGAAACATTGTGAAATCGTAGCAAACCTCCGACTGACGTGCCACTCACCCAGAGAGTAGACAGGCAGCAGAGTTACCACATCGTTCTGTCCAGTGACGAGCCATGCTGGCAGGCTTGTGCTGCTTCGCGGGCGCCTCAGGCTGTCCTACAGGGAGGACCACCGGAATGCACCGGTGGAGCTCGCTGCAGCACAGGCTGGTCCATGGCATCGGCCGGCTAACTACCGCCCCCTCTAGTTGCATGCAGCACCCGAAAGAGAGGACCTAGCCAGAGGACAAACCAGGGGGCCCAAAGAGGACAAACAGATTAGGGTGGGTGAGCAAAGCAGCCCCTCAAATTAAAACAATTAAGCCAGCACAAAAGACCGAAAGAAAGCGGCCAGCACGGGCAGAGACGAAACGAGTGTCCTAAGTCACCTTAGTGTGTCATAAGGGTGCAGTGTTGATGTCCCTCCCTTCCAAAGAAAAAACAACCAATCAAGCAGCAAACAAAGAGGAAAAACACAAAAACAAAAAAGAGCAGTCACACGATGTTCCATTAATGTACCTGAGTGCGACCCCAATGCACCTGCCACGTCAATGGACAGATGCACCAGTGGCCAAGAGCAGGAGCAGGGGAGAGCAAAACAGCAAGGGGAGCAAAGGGAGCACCCAAGGCCCACAGCAAACACAACCAAAGAAAGAGCGAAAAGGAGAAACCAACAAAAAACCACGAGAAAGAGGGGGCCAGGTGTGGCAACCACAGGAGGGGGCGCCGGGTCGGCAGAGGAGGACAGGGCGGAGAAGGCTGCACACATCACATTAGAATAGCAAAGGTGCAGCTTAGCGGCGCCTAAGATGTGTCTGGATC